TATATATATATATATACATTTTAATGTATTTGTACACATACAGTTAAATCTGTAAAGCTCCGTAAAAACAAAGAAACTAGCAGGGGCTCCTCTAAACTAGTACCGATGTATTCAAACTGACAAGTTCTGCTGCTTTGAACTTTATCTGTGATAGACGCAGTGATTCAAAAGCTGTCACAGATCAGCCCTCAGAAAAATTTTATTTCAGGAAAAAGTCTGCCTGAATAAGGAATAATGAAAGTTCATCAAGAGCTGAATTTGCAGAAGGTAGAACTGTCACATTTAGCTAGAAATGATAGAAGATGGTAGTCAGTGGTCAGTGTCTCTCAGGATGTGGCCAATTGTCTTTACAGAAAAACGACACTGGCTTTTGGCTGGAGGAAGTGACTTGAACAAGACAAGCATACATTGAAAAGAAAAAGGTCTCCTGTACTTCAGCAACTTTGATTTATGTCAGTTTGTACACAACAGTTTTCTAGTACGTGATTGTGCTACTAACTCCACATAGAAATATAAAGCAAAAAGCCCAGTCCTGGGCTAAGCTGATAGTTAATGCTGTCTGATTCATGGCAATATTTATTCAATTTTCAGGATAGCTACAATTTATCTTTTGTTAAAAAAAATTAGAAAGGTCAAAGCTAGTAAGGACTTGCTGAAGGAATATCTCTGCAGTTGCCTACTAAATAGCATTTGCACCTTCAGATACATATGAAGCTATACAATCTGCATAAAATAAAGAAAAAGAGCCAGATATCTGCAATAAGATACTTCTTACATAGTTTTCTCAACTATGACCCTCGGGTTAAGGATTTGTTTAATTTGCTTTGCTGGACGTGTACCTCCTGACTGAGCTTCCACCAGGTCCTTTACGTTGGTTTCACAATGCCATAAAGAAACAGAAAAAATGTCTAAGCCTGGGAAATTTCAGTCTTTTCCAAAGAAAATAGATAGTAAAAAGCATTAACCCAGTTTTAAAGTTCTTAAGAGATGAAACATATGCAGTTAAAAATGTGGTGTGTCTATTTCCTGATCTAGATTATAAACTACAGAATTTGAAGTACTTCATAAATAGTATTATCTGACAGTGCTGGATGAAATCTCAGACATAACAATATAAATAACATAACACATTAAACTGAAACACTCTTTTCTCCTCATTCACCTAGGGACCACAGATCCATACATCTGTTACCATCGCAGAGCTTGGAGACCTTCCACTTACAAGTGAGCTAAGCTTCTTACTTTCATTAAGACACAATCTGATAACTAGACTTTCTGAATTAGTTCGGGACCATGAGTAGTATGCAGTTTCTTTTAGGGGAAATCAATAAATTTAGGATAAATTAAAGCTGGCTTAATCAAACCTTTAATCAAAGATGTCCTTTAGTTAATACCATGAACCATCTTATGCACATAATTTCAGAGAGTTGCCTGTACTATCTGATTTCTCATGCTTCACGTTCAGTGTAACACCATGTTACATTTTGCAAATTAATATATAGGAAATCTGTCTTTGTCTAGCAGTAATCTGTCTTACAAACACACAGACAGAATATACTTTCATTCACTGCACTACACATCTGTGTATCTTTAAACTGAATATAGCTGGGATAGGAGTGTATTAACCTTGTTGGCAATTTCAAGATATCAATCTGTAAGTATACCACTATGTTGGAGTGCTGTAAAATATTTTAGTTCCCACTATCTCAGATGAGCACTGTTTTTATTTTCTTCTAGAATTACATTTTTTATCCTTTTCCTACCCAAATGTCTCTGCTGACAGAGGGAAGCTGTCTTAGGAAGAACGCATTTGATGCAGTGTCCTAAGGCAACAAGGTGGCAGAGATGGAATTGCAGAGTCACCATCTGTTTTTGGAAATCTGGTTTGTGTGACTTCTCTTTGAGCATCTGCAGTTCAGGAGTTTTAAAAGCTTAGCTTCACTGCTAAAAACTGCAATATTGGCCTTATCTACCCAAAAGTCATGGTCACTTCCACTATTTTAGCTTGTTTAAGGAGATGCTGCCCAGGCCCACCTTGTCCCCTGCCTCTGCTTTCCTTCAGAGGTCACAGCCCTCAGATCTCCAAGCATCTGCATTAGTACTACTTGAAGCCAACTGCACTTGTAGATGTTTCCTAACCTCATTCTGTCAGAATCATCTGATGAAGCCTAAAAAGGACTTCTAAAATGCTGGATCATTTTGACAGAATGGGATTACAGAGTAGCTATCCATGCAGAGATGGAAGCAGAGAGCAGATAACCTCCAGCAGATACTGGTGACAGGAAGCTGAAGATAAGCTGGCGATGGTAACCTCTTCACCTCTGAGTTTTCTGCAACCACAATAACTTATCTGACTGCACCCTAAGGCTTTTTTTGCTGAAACAAAAGTATGTTTTGGACACTACCTGGCAGTGCAGACAACCACAAAGCAGCAAGAAGTCACCCCCAGGGAGGAGTGCAACACCAACAACAGGGATGGAGCAAGGTCTGACTTATCTCCCAGCCCACAGCTGGCCAGGGCAGTACTGCTTGGAGCCCAGACACCTTGCTGATGCTCTGCCCCACACACAGCGTTCTGAACTGCACCCAGCACAACACTCTGCCCTGGATACTCTGGCACAGAACCTGCACTGCAGTGTCAGACAGGGAGAAGTTTCAGTCCTGGCCTCCCACACTGCTGCTGCAGCATGGGCATCACATATGAGCTGAGCCCTCTCCGAGGAGCTCAAGGGGAGCTGCATTGCTGCACTCTGAAAGAAAGAGGTGCCAGCAGTGCTGTAGGAGTGCTGAGGAGAGCTGAGACTGCAGCCCCGTTCTTCTCCATGAATCTACAGCCAGGCAAAGATACAGGTCTTCTCCCTGCTGTGTTTCTGTAACTTGCACTTACCAGTAACATTTCTAGTAAAGACAGACTAAATTCATGTGGTTTTTTTACCTCCCTAAAATTTTCCACTGATGAGTTTGTCCCTGCCTGTGACAAGAAGGTGGAAGAATGAGCTTTATTCAGCTAATAACAGCTTCTTTCAGTCAGTCTGGTTTTATACCACCGTAAACTATATTTAACATTGATGTAGACAGTTTAACATTCTGCACTTAATTCTCAGCAGGCCAATAAACAGCCTATAGTACTGCCTGTTGATTTTTCATTTATGAATGAAAAGTGAGAAGCAAGCAACTGAAAAGCAAGTCTAAAGTAAAAGCACTTAACTTTTTCAGCTGCCAATAGCTGAAAACTACTTGCCTGTCGACTCTAAAGCAAGGGCAATCACCATCTCACATTATTCTTCCAATAAACAATAGATATTCTTGCAGCAGTAGTGACATTGCCATAGCACAGTTATTTTAGAACTACACAGTTCAATAACAGCAAATCAAGTTATGGATTTAATTTTCCTTCACAGACTGGATAGTTACCTGCTTGGCTTTTTCCTTCAAGGCAATAAGCTGGGAACTGTTAAAACCTGAGACAGTCCCAAGAAGTTCCACATTTTTGTCAAAAGTCCCTGTGTCCATGCATTCCAGTTCCTGAACTGACCAAAAGACATTTGCTTCTGCTAATTTAATAATTTCATCTGAAGAAGGAGCTCTGGTACCCAGGCAATCTGCAAAAAAAAGTCAAATAGCAAGAGTTTTCTTCAAGACGACTGAAAAAAAGAAATCAAAGCAATATAGAGATTTAAGAGGGTGACTGACTATGAATTAAATGGAGGTGATGTGATATTAATTGCCTTGCAATTAAATAATTTCTTTAAATATTTACATTGTTAACATCCTGGATATAAAAGTAGGATGTGCCTAGCTTGCACGAAATTGCTATATTCTTTGTCTTCTAAAGGCAGTGCATGCTGGAAAAGAACATAGGAGCATATATATATATATTACAGAACAGTTACAATATAGGATGCCACAATAAAACTAAAATCTGGATGTCTGCAATAAAAGTAAGCAATATCTTGCAAGTTTCTTTCAAGTCTAATTCCCTAAAGGCATCAAAATCCAGGCAATGGCTTATTCTGACGTAAAACCACCATTTGCTGGGAGCTTTGCTTCAGAGTAAGAATGAAATGTAAATCTTCAGGATGACCTCAGCAGAAGTCTCATATAGCTATGTCATTGTTTGCCAAAAAATGTTGCAGCTGAATAAAGTTCTCTGTGTTCAAACAGCACATATGTGAAATCCAGCTCAACAGGAAAGTAACAGACATGTGAGGTCCTTTTACTCTGAAATACTCTGACAAAGATGTATGTCTCGTAAGACTTCCCTGACATTTAAACAAGGTGAAGACAGAAGCTGGATGTGTCAGAGAAGCAGAGTGGCTGTTCTTTATGTCAAGCATGTTGTTAAAATGTCAGGATCTAGAGAGGGCTGTTCACTTGCAACAGAACTGTTTGGACAGGCAAACTATATTTAAAAATCTTATTTATGGTCAGGTTCTGACTCTATGCATGATCACATGAGACAATTTCCATTCTGTGTTTGAACAAACTCTGGTCTTTCTTGGTGTAATTTACCTCTAATATTGATGGAAAGCAGAAATTAGAATTCTAATGTGGTTGCTTACTCCTCTCTCTCCTGTCACTAATTTAGGAAAACCTTATTAGATAATTACCTAAGCCAAATAATCCCTACATGTCTTCAGATATGGTCATTACCAGTAAAAAGCAAGAATTTCACGGATGCTGTGCCTGAGCTAAGCTCCCCCAGATAAATAAAGCGAGGATGTACAAAGTAGATTTGTACTTTGAAAGGAGGGAGAGAAGGGATTTATTTGCATCAAAGGAAGCTGCAGTAGTGGGTAGAACACTGAAAAGACTGAATCTGTTGAGCAAACGAAAATGCTGTTCAGCTTCCACTGTACCAGCTGATGTTCTGCTCTCCCTTTACACCACCCTCTTGTGAAGCTGCATTGTTTCACTTTCCCCTGCTGCAAAAGGTCAGCTTTTATCATGTAAATACTATGCATCCAGACACAATGCAGTTCCCTTCCCCAAGTCATGAAAACCTAATATTTTGTGTTCTTGGAAAAAAAACATTGATTTTATTACATGTAACACACCAGATACATTGGCACGATTACAGAGGGAAATACCAATTAGACTCCTGGCTTTGCTTCCTCTATCTGATGCTACTTCACTCTTCCTTTTGCTATATAATCACATTTAGTTTGATGAAGAACATGTTATACATATAACAAATGACAACATCTCAATGAAGTAAACAACTTGAATTCTTTGTTCAGCACTGCCACTGCTTTGTGGTACCATCTCAAACACACGAGTCCTCAGTTTTGCCTCATACGTTTCATCTTGCCTTAAGCACCGCCTTTGGTTTTATCTTGATGTAGACATAGTTGTAAGAATTCTGTCACTGTAATTGTTACTGTTATTAATAATAGTTCAGAACTCAACTGTGGGAAATGTAAAATAGCAGATTGGTAGCATGAAGAGCATCAGTGTTATTCTAGAGTCATTCTCATAATATCCAATTTTCTAGTGATTTAAATTCCTTATTGAAACAACCATCTGAGTTGTGTGGAGTTGATAAGATTATGTTTGGAAACAGAACTTCAGTGCCACATTTGGACTGCAGAAGCATTTATTCTTAGACTAGCACAAACAAATGCTTCAATTATTAATCTCCCAGACTCCTCCCCAACTGAGCTTGTGCACCCCAAGTGAGGAACTAAAAGCCTCCATAGCCTTGGAGCTCTGTTATCCTTAAACAAAGATCATTAGCTACACTGACAGCTTTATATTTGTCTTGCAATGCAGATGAGACAGCTCTACAACTGCACTGCACATGAGTTAGTATGATTAGAGAAGTTTGGGATTCACGTTGTTGTGATCCAGAGGCCTAAAAAAGCATATATAAGGACACAAGCATACTGAAATACCTGATGCTGAACCTTTAGTCCTGTGGCCCATGCCTAAAGAAATATGATTTATGATCTGATTATTTTCTTATTGAAGGAAGAGTGAATTTCATGCATACAGCTGGACTAATGCTCTGCCATACTACAAGCTTGATTCTGCTTTTTTAGAGCATAACTGTGTAATGACTCCTCTGATCAACAGAGGTCATGTTGGTTTTATTTCCGGCTATGCAAAAATACAACTCTGTAGAACACCCTCTCTCTCTCTCTGTATATGGATACAGCATTATCAGGAGCAAATTCATTCCCAGAGACATGCAGTCATCATTCAGAGTTGCTTTTATACAAGCAGATGGATTTCCATGTTGGCTCAGGGCTTGCTGAGAGCTTGGACCTGTATTCTGTTAGGCAGAGAGCCAATGGGAAATTTTCAAAGACAAAGACAGACAGTACCAAACTTCTTGAAATTGCTGGGGCCTAAATTCCCATTAGTGCTTTCAAAGCCTCTCCCCTAGCAGGGTTCTTTTCCATGGCACAAGGTGGCATAGCTTAAAAATTCTGCCTGGGTTACTTTCAAGTAAGAGAAAGAATACATTTACTGTAATAATAGAATATAGTCAAAGTATGTATGTTATACAAGGAAAATAATCAATTTCTTACCAGAAATTCTAATAGATTAGTTTGATTGCAGATTAAAATGTCTTTTAGATTATAACAAACTTTGTCCGTTTGGACAGACAAAACACAGTGCCACCACTATCAGATTTAAGAACAGCCGAGTCAACATATGCTCATGTCTGGCAAAGGATTAACTATGTGCAATCTTTTGGCACAAGAGTAACTTGTCACCTTCACAGCTTTTAATTCAAGGATTTTCACTTAGATTATAAAGGAAAGTAAAAATAAACAAAAAAGTAAAAATAAACAAAACCTCTAATTCAAATCATTCATCTTTTCTTTTGTGCACTCAGGAACACTCCAGGAGATGCTTAACCATGCAATCCTGTAATGAAATTGTTTCTGCAATGAAATTGTTTCTGCAATTGGTTAATGCATCAGACAACTATGGGCAGCAGAATGAAGACTCTTGCTGTTTTTGCTAAAAGTCTGAACCCCTCTAAGTTACTTGAGGCTTTACTTTTTATTGTCTGGCTTCTTAGAATGCATTTGATGACAGAGCGAAACAAAAAATCTGTTTGAACCACACCATCACAGTCCAAAATGGCACCACTGTAAATCTGGCACTTTGCACAGAGAGCAGGTGAAATACTGACCAGGTCTGGTGAGAGATGATTCGATGTTGGCAGTGGCATTGGAGACAGATTTGAATACAGTTGACAAAAACTCTTCAGCTGAAGAAACTGGTCCAGTTGTCTTTGCTATTTGTAAAATGGTATCTGGGAACTTTGGAAGAAAGAAAGAGTAAATAAGACTTATTTCTCCCTTTTAAAACAAATCAATTTGCAGGGAATGACTTGTGCAGACCTCAGCAAAGCAGGGTTTAATAACAGCTCAGCTGCTTTTCTGTTTGTGCAGATGTTTCAGAGAGGAGAGTAAATTGGCTGCTACTGAAAGGTCAACAGCATATGTTAGGGGGGGGAAATAGAAACATAGCAAATTCTGAGTGATTCTCCCTCTTGTATGCCCTCTCAGCTTCTGGCAACACCTGAGCACTGCCTGACTGGATTCTATGCAGACCCTCCTGCACAATGAGTCCCACCATTTTAGTATGTGCAGCACAGAAAGTACTTGATTTTGTTTGTTCATAATTTGCCAGGGACCAAATTAAATTATGAGAAATAAAGTTAACCTGTTCACCTTTTTTAGGCTTTTTTCACCTCTCCCCTCCACTCTGCTACTTTCCCTTCAGGTGGAGAGTCCTATTCTATTTGGTCAATTATAACCACTATCTCCTGAGGAAAAGCTGCTGACTGTTCTTACATATTTCTGCTGAGTAATGAATTCCTCATTCCAGTATAGTTTACTCCTATACATAAAAATTATAAGATTTTAAGAACTAACGAGGGCAAAGAAACTACAAAGTGCAATGCTGAGGCTATCAGTTATCGTTAATTGTGCTACACTGGCCCTAGGGCAAAGGGCCATGTGGGTAAATGCTAATTTGATCAGTATGATCCCAGGACAAGAAACATAACTTTTATGGTTGGAAGACAGAGAATGAAGGAAACAACACTTCAAGGTGTAAAGTACTAAAAATGTTTGAGTCTGTGTCACTGTAAATGCACCATTTTTTTTCCTCAATGACAATGTACAATTATCAGCGTATACATGCAAATAATTGTTTATACTACCATTACTGTCAAGAAAAAAATCTCATAAATTTTGAAGGAGTCAAGAATCTGTGAAACATTAACGCATAGTTCCTTGCCAAGAGAATTATTTATCTTGTTTAGCATTCAGGTTACATAATTTAGACTGTATTATGACATTTACAAATCCAAATTGTAACATCACCTTCTACAAATTTAAAAATTATAATAAAAACATACCTTTTCAGCAAGGACTTTTAATTCCTCTTTTGACAGCAGAGCTGTGAATGGTCCAACATCTAATGTTGTTTCAGCTGTCCAGTTGTTTGGGGAGCTGAAGAATTATTTTGGATAACATTATTGATGAAAAAAGTTTGCAATCGAATTTATACCAAAACTTGAGAGTTTTTCTTATATTGTATCTTATAGGAAACACAGACACTTCTACGCCAATGTGATTAATCATGCTTATAAACATCAAATTGTATTTTCTCATCTCTCTGTGACATATAGGGCACTAGTGGAATTCTCAATATATTCAGAGGAAGACTTCAAACATTGTGATAAGGGAGCTCTCTCCCTCCCCTCAATAGCCATAGTGTTCTTAGCATTACAGTCTTCAAGCAAGGTGAAATATTTTTTTAAAAGAAAATTTACCATTTTCTATCAGGTTCATACTGCAACAGCAGTCTGCAAAATGTTATCAAAAGAGAAGGAGAACCCTCATAACCAAAACTGAAACCATCCTTTTTCCAAGAATCTCATACTAAGGACTAATGTGGCTAAAACTTCAAGCAAGCAATACTTGCCAGTACTTGCTTATAAATTAAAAAACAAAACAAAACAACAAACCTACTCCTCTATTCCAATATTTAACTATTTGTAGGTGCACGGGGGCTGTTTTCCATTGGTGTTGGGCAACTGTAACTTTCCCTGATGTCAGCAGGAGCTGTGGGTGCTCAACATTTTTGAAAAATAGGTCCATACACACTTAGAAGTGGACAGTTTTCCCGTTGTTCTGAAAGGATCAAGTTCACTAAACAACCCAGTGTGGCACCAGTCTGCTGCTAATACTGCCTTTTTAAAACTAGGAACAGAAACACAAAATACAGGTAATGGAACAGAAGTTTTAAATCCATACCTTATTAGCTCCGTTATTTTACTGTCTGCTATTTCATTAATCTGCAATGTCAACAGTTATGGAAGGCAGATCTAACACCTTGAAGAGCCACATCTAATGACACCTATGCCATTTCTGTATGAGAGATCAATTCTGCGATAGGTACCATATCTCTTGCAATAACATGCTAAATTACTTGTAGGGATTTCAGGTCTTAAAAATTAAGTTCAGGCTCAGTTCTGAGTGGTGCAGGGTGTTTCAGAATGTACATAGCAGGTTTGGCCTGTTTGTTTGACATAAATCTAACAAATGTTAGCCAACCCAGTTGGTGATTGACTTAAAAACGCACTTGGATAAATAATGTTCAGTCTGAAAGAGCCTGAAGAAGATGCCAATAACAAACCTGTTACTAGTGCATGTTCTCACAGAAAACTATTTGGTTTGTTGCTCCACTATAAGGATGTTTGACTAGACAAAAATTTTCTAAATAAAATAAAATATTATTTAGCTCAGTATGTCATGATTCAATAAAATGGATCTGTATCACCAGCACACTGAGTATCCCACTTCCATTTTCTTTTTCTTTGCATTCCTGTGCCATTCTTTGCCTGTAACGCCCTTTCTCTTTCCATGCCAGAGTTTGTTTGCCTGCCCCTCCTCAAACATTACATTTTCTCTCTTCTTCCTCTGGGACTTAAGTCATGCAGGACGTCCCTGGGGCTGTATTTTGTTCCACAGTTATCATGTTACATACAAGAACAGAAATGTCATTATAGTGGACAGAGATCCCAAGTTGGGCCAGTGCTAGACGTTACTTTGTGTTGTTTCCATTGAAGTTCTATCTGGGCAAAGCAAACAGTTGGTATTTGCATGGCTTAACCATCAGCATAAGCAAGGTAGTATATCTAATACCTTACCCATATAACTCAAGGAGTTTATATTTAATTTCAATCTTCTGCTCATGGTTGAGCTGTTGGCAGAGTTTGAATTGATGAAGGGCTGTTGCCATTGCCTTCAGGGACACTCTGCCACGTAGAAAGGCTGGAGATAAGTGGCAGATTAGATTTCCAAGTAGGTCAACATCATATTCATCAGCAATGGAGCCATTCTGAAACAAGAAACATTTACCTTGTTGGCAGAGCTAATCTTGGCTCTTGCGCTGTGTCACTCAACTGCATCACAACACATTTAAGCTTTGTGACCCTTTAAGGAACAAAGATACAACAGTTTGCACTGGCAACTTAATCTACCGTTTCTGCCTAGATTGTTTTATATTTTTTGCTTCTACTAATGCAGATGCTGATATTTAATAAGACCTTGTCAGAGGTTTCAGTGTGTTCTCTATTTCATATTGAAGCACACACAAAAAATAATGAAAACTAAATGTCCTGCCACAACCTCCATATCCAGGTGTCCACACCTGCAGAGGTGGTGCACTTCTGTCCAGCAGGCAGGCCCTCACATGGCCCCTCATGGCAAAAGGGCCACAAGCTTTTGCTGTCACAACCCTCTGAGGGGTTTCTCAGCAGCTGTCAAAACACTAGGGATTATAGGACTGGACAGTATGTATAAGGACATGAATATTCACAGTACATCAATGAACTAGTTTCCCCTAAAAGTTGGTGATTGCTGCAGCTCCCAGACAGCAGAATTCACAAAATCCTTCTAGTACCACCACCTCTCCCATGGAGCTTCCATTGCCACCCATAGCTCTACAGGACTAGTGATGCTTGGAGCTCCAGGTGCAAATGGGTCAGCTCCAGGCTGCCCTGGCCAGGTCACTGTGCTCAGCAAAGACATTTCATGAGAACACTTTGTAACATGCATGTTGTCAAGGAAAATTGTTAAGGAAGCTACAAAAAGGTTTTCTTTAGGCAGGGAACAATAAAATTGAACAGTACACAAAAAACCCATAAGAATATAGATGTGTAAGTCAGGAACTCATGTAGATGGTGACTGACATAACTGTATGAAGTGCAGTGGTATGTGCAAACAGAGCTCCAGAATGGCTGAGTTTGGAAGAGACCTCTGGTCCAACATCCCTGCTCAAAGCAGGTGAGCTACAGCAGGCTGCTTGGGGCCTTGGCCAGTTGGGTTTTGAGTACCTCTAAAAATAGACTCCACCACCTCTCTTAGCAACTTGTTCCAGTGCTCAAACACCCTTACAGTAAAAAAACCCTTTTCTTATGTTTAGATGGGATTTCTTGTATTTTGATTTTCCTGTGCCCATTGCCTCTTGTCCTTCCACTGACACCACTGAGAAGAGCCCAGCTCTGTCTTCTTTACTCTCTTCCCATAAGGTATTTATATAGATTGGTAAGATCCCAGTTAAGCCTCCATTTCTCCAGGAGAACAATTTACAAACAGAAGTCTTAATTTGATCTACATGAAAAAAACACAATTTTTTTTTGTTGATCTAGAAATCCTTACCACAGAGCTGTTTCAAAGGCAGCTCTGGGTAGCTCAGTGGTTACAGGGATATTTGAGCTCTGCAGACATCTGACCTCTGTTAGGAATAAATTAGCAGTCTGGTAAATCAGCATATCGCTGCTGTTGGATTTGTGCAATCAGAAAATCACCAATATTTTGCTCTGCCTTAAGCATAAGACAACAGCTGAGCCCTAGAACTCAGTATTACTGGCACTTCAAACAAGCTATTTCTGTTAATGTCTTTAAAATATTTAAGTGTCCACTTTGTTAGGCAGTGGGTCTAATTAAGCACAGTCTAGCCTATGCAATGAAATCCTTGCTGTTTAAACATGAAGTCTAAGAGCTTCTCTGAGCTGGGTGATAGTCTAAGCTGCTCTTGCTTGTGCTGTTGAAGAAATTAGCATGCTGTGTTATTGCCTTTTGAGCTCCCAGAGTCCCTCAGCTACGGTTTCACTCCACAAACACAGAGCAGGAGAGCCTGTGTCTCAGATTGCTGACTGCATAAAAGAGATCATAAGTGTGTGCATGTGGACCGGAGAGTACAAGTAGGCAGGATAACTTAGTGATGCACCACATGACAATAAAGGAAGAGAAAACTAATCAACCACTCTCACTTAGCTTAGAATTGCCAGTGGCTAACTACAGATTACTTCTTTTGCAGCTCCCCCTCCACTGGTGACACCTCCTAGCCATACCTACCAAGCACTCCTGTACTTTTTGCATCACAGCATTCTTTTTCTGAAGGCTTGGATTCAAAAGGTCCATTTCAGTCTTCCCCAGACTTTCAATGAAAGGGACACACAAAGGGCCTGAGACATTCTCGAGGTACTCAACCCTGCAGAAAGAATTAAAACGGTCTCAGAATGTAAACCTGACCTTCACACATCCATAACAACAGCCATAAACTCTGTGATGACAGAAAAATTCAGAGACAACTCTGGACCAGCCAGGCCAGAAAAGTTGTAATTAATCTTCACCTTAAATTTACAGCTTCTTCATTGGCACATCACATTATCTTCAAAAATGGCTAAGGATTATAAACAGCTGCAAGTGGATGAAAGTGCTCTGAGATGCTTTAACACCATATGAAACAAGACTGTCTACAGTTCAGAAACTTTTCCCCTTTCTCCTTTTAATGAGGAATAATTCTCTGATGAATGAAGATGTGATTGGGTGGGTTAAGGACAAGTGATTTTAGAGTAGGCTTCTTTTTTATCAAAGTCCAAGAAGGCCTGCCAAATAAAACAAAATGGTGCTCTTCTCCATCCAGAGTGGCAGGCAGCCTTTGCACATACCAGAGCTGCACAAGCCCAGCCTCACCAGGGTTTGTAGGCAAGAGAACCAGCAACTTATGACAGCCCTGAACAAGCATCATGCAATTGTTGGCCAAATAACTTGGCGCTTCAGTTTGTAGAAAGCCTTGTATTAAAGTCTTATTATTTTGTTGTTTTTAGAGCCTTTTCAAACAGAATCCTTTTTTCTTTTTTTTTTTTTAATTAAAAATATTCTAGGAAAAGATTAGTTCTCATTCCCTTTTATCCCTTTAAGCATGTAGGAAGAAAGAAATAAAGAAAAGGGGGAATTAACAAGTTGTACAATGCAGGAGTTTCTGTCAAGGTACAGTGATTTTTTTTTTTTCCCCTAAGGAAAAAAGCTGCCACTAAATATTACTTGGCTATTTACATAATGCAAAATTTTGCTGACTTACAAAAATGTCTTTAAACACACTGAAATGTTTTTAACCATACAGAGCAATATGCTTGGGCAGCACCCAATGGGTTTGTCTTACACATCCACTCCCAAAAAAATCCCTAAGCAAATAAACAAAGCAAGTCTCATAACCTGGGATGTGTGTGTGGGGGGGGAAATCCAGCATAAGCTACATTTAAGTTAGTTTTGTGATTCTAAACAGTTGTGCTCAGGAAAGCCCAACGAATTAATCCCTTTACCTTAGCAGATATCAGCAACAGTATTCGCAGCAACATTACAAGCTTTTTGATTGCTGTCACACCACTGCACCATGATTCAGCCTGTACACAGAGTGCTTCAAGGTGGACAGATTTCAAGGATGCAAAAGAGTCCACAACTGTGACGAAAATGGGCTACACTACAAGACATCAGGTATCACCAATTTTCACGATACAGATTTGGGCTACAATCAGTGACCACTTTTTATAAGTCACCATTTATTTGAATCATCAGTTTTCCTATGACTGAAGAGGTTGTTAAAAAAGTGCTCAGGACTACTCTGAATCTACTGCAACAAATGCAGTAACTTAAGATGTCGTAAGATATAACTTACGGAAGCACCAGTAAGAGGAAGGGAGGAATAGATGCACTGGAGACTTTCCAAAACTTCCAAGCCAAACAATTAACCTAAAAGTAATGAAAATTTGAGGTCTTAAACATTTGGAAATTTTGAGGAATAATGAAAATATCGTTTGTTTATTACAGCTTATAAATTAGCACACATAAAACTATGCATACTATCTTCAGAGAGCATTTTTCTTTGGCTTTTTAAAAGTAGTTTAGAGTTCTCTTTTTGAAGACATCAGAGATGTAATATTCTGTATTTGGGTGCATGAGAGCATTTGTATTTTTCCAAAACGTATATATTCTATATATTTCCAAACAAATTACTCATGTATTAGCAAGTTGGAAGAAATTTCTTGCAATTTGTAAGTCACAAGTGTAATTGTCAAAATGAAGTATGATAACAGATGAATTCACACATAGAGGATTTAAATGAAATATGTTTACAGACAAGTTCACACACACAAGATTTTGAAAAAAAAAATTAAAAAAACAAGTAACCAAATTCTAATTTACCTACAGTTAGGCTATTGGGTAGTATGTTTATGTACACAAAGTCTTTTTTTTTTATTTTACCTGATAGGGAGAAAGCAGATGAAGATTTTTTTCAAAGAATGTAAAAGTGTTTAAAAAAAAGTCTGTGCCCATACTTTCAATGAGTTGACAAGTTACTCCTTTCACAAGCTGTCCTGTGCTGCTAGGAAAAAGCAAAGTTCAATCTTATTAATATTTAAGCAGGATCTAGTCTTTACTCCCTACAACCATGTCCTAAGGAACTTGACCACCTTTCTTTCCCCTTTCTTGTAACCAAAAGACTATTGAAAGTAAAAATGTAATCAAATCGAAAAACACTGACTGAGCCTTAAAATACCAAAACCTCTGCAATGCTTTGATCAGGATTTTGAATTTGGAGACCCTTTTTAATGAGGAAGGTGAATTATCCTGGGGTACCAAGGAATGAATAAATATTAGGACAGTAGAAAATAACCACAGAATGTTTATGTTTACCTCAAAGTCACTCTCATCACAAAACTAGACTTAAACTCTATTTCAAGAGAGACTATCATCCATACCTTAGCAGGTCAACAGGAGAGTTTTTCTTAGACAGTAATTCATACAGATACAAAGCCTGAAATAAAAACAACCATATTTAAAGCTAAGTTTAGGTAATTCAGTTGTAAGTTAAGTTTAGGTAATAACTACTTCAAGGTTTTGTATGCTTAACTCTTTTATGTACTCTAAAGTAATTTCTATGGTGCAGTTTGGCCAACCAAAAGGTTCAGCATCCACTGCTGAATTTCTTCTTCACAAGACAAGACATCACTGACTGTGATGTCACTACGGCACTACGGGATGCTGCTAAACATATTTATGGTGCACTACCACAGAATAATTTAGGTTTGAAGGGACCTCTGGAGATCACCTGGTCCAACCTTGCATCTATCTGGACAGAGCCAAAGGGCTGATGGTACATGCAAATGTTTAGTACACAGTACTGGAAAGAGAAAATATATGGGCCAGAATCCTGAAGACTTTTTAACTCAGTATATTAACGCTTCCCTTTCTGTAACATTGTCTCATAACGCTGTCTAGGCTCTAAGTGACCTCTGGTTGTTTATGTCAGGATATATTTGGGGCAGTTCCTGCCTTTAACCTATGTTCCTTGAACACATGTGCATTACAACACTTTTCCTGTTCTTCCATCATACTAAATTTCAGTGGAATGGGAACTGCATAATAAGTTTTACCTGGCTTCTTCTTAGCTCTTTTTCTTTCATCATTGAAGAATTATATCCAGTCTGCTTCCATAAATCAGAAAGAGATATTTCTTTAAAGAAAGCTCCTTTTATATCTTTCACTGATGAGGAAAAATCTCCAGATGCAGCTATCTAGAAAGAGGGATAGATAAATACATGGCATTTCAGAACTGATGCCTAGATTTACAGGATTTGCCCTTCTTTCTATTCTGTGTAATATTTCTCTTAAGAGGATAAAGGAAAAACATGTCAGTATTAAAAATGTCAGAAGGACTAAGCAAGAGACAGCCTTCAAAATATACTTGGTGTTCAGAAAAAACACTGGATATATTAACCATTGAGCTGAAACACATCTCTCTGCAACAACATTTTAAATCATGCTCTGCATATTTGGTTATTGTGCTGTTGTGCAAAGAGAACCTGGTACACACTTGAGTTCATAATCACCTTCCTGAGGATCCCTTGCTGTTGTGCAGGAGTCAAGTCAGACAAGTATTGTGATAGCATGCCACAAATAATCTGAGAAAGCTCCTTTGGGTTCATGCTGTAGAATGACTGCGTGCTAATACCAGTTACCAATGCGCCCATTTGACTAACATTATAAAATGAGAAAACCTGCAGAGATAACAGCACAAACAAAAAGAAAGTATATTTAAAAGCAAAGGTTAATAAATAAATCAGAACTATTACTGTTGAATACTTAATACATTTCTTGCCTGGGGATGCACTTTGCTCAGATTTCTTTCAATTAAGACAAGACTGTCCAGGAAATGAATGCGACAATTTTCTCAGAGGCTCCTTTTTTAAAAGCTTCAGAAAGGACCCTGATTCCTTCCATCACAGCATATTTGAATATAGTCTGGGATATCTGATCATGCAAATTCTGCCTGGGGCAGTCATAACAGACAAAATAATATATACAGCTGCCAAATGCAAATAGTCACTCTCTCTGTTACTGGAGAATTACTTTGGGATGTACAATCTTGAATGTTTCTATTTGTTTTAAACAAAATTTTCAGTACTAAAATAAGTCTTGTACTAGACTTTTCAAAATCTACACTTCTCATTGCAAAAAAGCCATTTCACTTTTAAAAATAGACGGTAGGAAAGCTGTTATCAGATGTACCTTTTCATAAGAGAGGTATTTACTGGATAAAATCATAACTTGGCTTTTTGCCCACCCAGAGACTTGGTTTAATGTTGCAATAGCATTTTGTACTGCTTCAGGTGACAAAGATTCCAGCTGACTCGAAGTTAGGCCAACCACGGCATCTGACAGAGATCCAAGGATATCATTCAGTGTCTGGTTTTGCATGGCAATGTTCAGGAGTTGAGATTTCAGCTAAAGCAAACAAAAAAGCAGATGGGAAATAAAAATCTGCCAAGAACCAATTTTCATTATCACCCTAAACCTTAACTGGAGTTTCTGGAATAGGCATTGGCAACCATTTAGTGACCACACATTTCATAAGAATTAAAAAATAGGACCACAATTGTCAAAGGAATATTGAACAGGAGGAAACAGAATGAGAAAAGAATGAGCACTGTAAAAAAGAGAAACACAAAAAAGGGCTTTTATTATTTGTGTTATACAGTCAAGAACTATTTCCACTTATTTCTTAGATTCCAGTCATTTTTCAGTCTTTTCTTTTCAAATTCAAGAAGAAAGTTCCTCCTCCTCTGTTTTCAGGATTAGGTTAGGCAAGAAGAATTAGCATTGTACCTACCTTCTGAATCTCAGCCTGGAAACCTCTCAATTGATTGCATTTAATCATCTGATGAAGTAAAGCCCGAGCCACAGCAGCATCCATCTGTTCCATGTCATCATAAAAGCAAACCAATAAACCTAGCCTTTAGAGAAGAAAATACATTAGCTAACTTCCGACACAAAAGGTGTCATTGTCAGGAAACCAAAATATAGTACGGTATATCCTACTTGTACTCAGAACTTGAGTTGTTTCTGTCTGTCACTAGTTCCTTAAGCTGCAATCTTTAAAACTCCACATGGCCTGAAATTTGGGTATGAGACATATGCACTGTTCTCTGTATTCAGCTGAACTCTACCCAGATTCCTGGTGCTGTCAGAAATTTAACTTTCCTGGTTCCACTTGTCCATGGCTGGATTTTCCCAGCTAATGACGCCACTCCCCTTGGCAGAGTTTGCAATATAATCTCTGCATTGAAAAGGATGGAGGGCTAAATAAGTCTCTAGAAGTGGTTTGCTGAGTTCTTACCTGGATTGATTGAATGTTTTGAACTCTAAATCCTGCTTGGATTTCACATGCAACATAACTCATTCGTGTCAGAGCAGCAGCTAGAGCATTACATAGTCTCTTTATGGTTTCAGGTTTAAACAAAGCCTGCTGTATTTCACATCAAACATACGACTGGCTGATGGATGAAGACCTGTCCAATTCAACACTGGTTAGGAGAGAACGTGCTGAGGCTCATTGTCTTAGTTGTGCCAGCACAGCAGTTTGCAAGGCAGTGCTGTAAACAAGATGTGGAGCTCATTTTCCTACACAGTACCCACTGTATAAAATTAAAGTCAACATTTCCATTGACCTCTGTAAAGCACAAACACAACCATAGTTGGTGGAGAGTAGCAGTCATACCACCAAGGGTAAGCACCTGCTACAGGTGGCCTCCTGACACTGGCCTTGTGCTTACTTACTACCATTATGTGCAGCCTTGCAAAGGAGATCTGAATTGTGCATTGCTCTCTCTGGACTTCATAGTGATGGTGATGCATTCCTTTGTAGGAAGCCTGAATCAATCCTCTGTCACTGTAAACAACTAGCTTTTGCTTTCATAGTTCGCACATGACAAGAACATACAAAGCCCAGCTTTCCTGCTACAGGCTTTGTTTTTAGTAATTCAATGATGCAGGCGTAGGCAGAGTCTAGACAGTAATGTTCAGACATGAACTAAATCTACAGCAGACAATGCTGCAGCACTATCACAAACTCGGTAAACTTCTGCAGCACAGAAAAGCTTAGCTCTTAGTTCCTCTATTCCCTCAATATAACAATGTATTGCTTCATTGTATCTGAATTAATGGGACCGCATTTTTATAACAAATAATTACCTCCTGATGCATTATTGCATAGCCATCAAGAGCTCTTCATCTCCTTTGGGATTAGCAGCAATGAATAATACTACTTCTTTAAAGTAAAAGAGCATTTAAATCATCAGTATGGTTAAAATGAGTAATATAAAATAAGTGTGTTGTAAAAGTGGAATATATTAAAGATTATGGAGCACGAAATTTCTCTCCTCTGTGAGAATGTGGCACCTCTCATGAGTGGTAAAATAATCTTTAAGATTTCTGACACTGAAATTTAGAGTGTGGGCATAATTCTTCTCTTGCTTACATCTCCAGCAATCAGCGATATTTCATGGAAGTCAGTGAGTTACATTGCAATAATGACAGGAGCTCTGAAGACATAAAGCATATTCTGCATTAGTTTAAAACTCCAAGGTATCCCCCAAGGAGACTACAAAAAAACAGCAGTGACTTGGGACTAAATACATCTATTTGTAGGACAGTTAAAATGTAAATGTAGAGCACAGCATTTTCTTGCAGATAACTCATGCTTACTACGTATTTATGAATAAGAGCAATTTATTTTGTTTTTTTTCTATTATTGTCAAAGTATGTTCAGTGCTGATTTGACAGCCCTAAAAATGCAGTTTCCTGCTTACACACACAACAGTCACATGCATTTAAATGTAGCTCCTCTCTACCCTGCAGGATGGGCTTTACACCTCTTCGCTCTGTGACCTCTCTGGTGGCACACATGCCAAATAAAAACCACTTGCAGGACTGGCTGGCATGAGCCGAGATTTCCTCCTTAAATCCTAACTGTAACATGATTTCCACAAAACACCTCCATCTTCTGTGATTCAAACAGACAATGCAACTCATGTCCCGCTATCCCAATTTATTTTATTGCTGTACAGCACAAAGTGATGGAGCTTTGATTGAGTCCCCCAGGTACTGCTGTAGTTCTCATACTAATACTACAGACTCACTGCAGAGCAGGAGACGAAGCATTAGCTAATTAGACACACCTGCAGAAATTAATAAACTAGCAGTTCTTCACTGTTGCTAACCAGGGTTGGATTTCAGCCTACATTTTTCTGCTGGAAGAAAAAAGCTATGCTACACCAACAACTTCATCAAGTACTTATTGCTCCTTTCTTTTCTTCTTACTTATTTGTTTTCTCCATACACAGCCATAAAAGAAAAAGCAAAGCAGTCTTGCCTGTAGATGGTTGAAGTGTTTCTCATATCAAATCCTGATGAGTTTATTCTTTCCAGGAAAGCTTGTGCAAGCTCTGGTGTGATATCATACACTGTGTCTAACTGTTTTGTTGCATTGTCGTAGCTAATGAATAGTCGAATCTGACCAGTGCAAACAAAATTACGTGTCAGGATTATGAAACAATTGCATCCAATAAAATATAGAAGACAAAGATTTGGATAATACAGTACTTTTTAAGTTAAAGCTGAGACAGCAATTCTCTGTCAAACTGTCAAATAATTTGAGGGTCTTCTGTCATTGGTCCCTATCTTTCTTTCAGTACAAGTCACAGAAGCCTGATACAGATAAACAATTACATATTAATGATAGAAACTTTCAAATTCCAAAAATAAAAGAATATTTGGTTGACAATGGATTGAAATTAACTTTAAGTAATTAAAATATATAAACTTTTTTTTGTGTTGAAGTTTGCATTTGTGTTCATATTGTTTACAGCTGACATCACTTGACAAGGATATAGTCAACCACACTTTGTTACTTACTTCACTGAGACTAATTTTCAGAATTTCTTCTAACGGGAGATGAACCATGTATCTTCCCAAAATCCATAAGTTTTCTGCACTGACCCAAGAAGTTGATTCATTGAACTCTGTTTTGTACAAATAAATACTCACTACAGTGTTAAGAAAGTAATTATTTTTCAAATACATTGTACCCAGTATGTTGTTATTGGTAAACAATCAAGAAAATAGCTGCAAATCAGAAAAATCTTTAGCACAGAGAGACAGGTTCCCTCTATTAGCTAGATTTTAGCACTGCACTTTTATGAACCCATACATTTTTAAATGAAAATTAAATAATGATTCAATTGTTTTAAATTTTCTCATATGAAACCAGTTAATATTTTATATTGTTGAAATAGAAAATGGATAAAGTATGAGACAGAAAAAATTAAACCAGTAGTATTAAATATGGAGCAGCACTTTTTAAATTCAGTTTTCCTAATAAAATATAATATTTAAGAACACCAGGAAGGCATGATACTTTGTAACACTTTCTATATCTATATATTATTATTGATCATACCACTCATTTCAGCAATACACAATAGCAATAATGGAGAAAAGATCCAAATATCCCTGAGGAAAAAGGATTTATGGACTAAGTGGATACTTCGAGCCACAAAGATGGTGTTTTCTCCAATGTACCATAATTTGGATGGCTCAAAGTGTGATAACTCTAAACATATTCCTTAGCAGTGCTGATAGTCACAGCTCTGTTAAAATAAAATCATCAGTGCATTTTGCAGAGTTTTCAGTATCTGAAAAAACAGCTTTTAAATTCCAGAAGCTGAAGAACCCCATTTAGTAAGGATTTTTTTTGAAAACACAGATCTACACTCCTTAGCTGAGACAAGACGATGCTCCCAGCAGACCTGTCTGTCAAGCCTCCATTTTTTGAAGTGATATTACCTCCCATTACCAGGAATATTAAAAGAGTTAAAAGACAGGGTAGAAGAGCTAAAAAAATAACCTATCACAATTTAAGGATGCTGACTGTGGCCTTAGCAGACCAGACTTGCAATTACCAACTGCGGTAGCTATGATCCCCAGAACTGTTTTGACACTTTTAAATAAGGTACAACATTCGAAAGTTGCAGACTCCTGTTTTTGCAAGGGCTATCAGCATGCTTCATCTCTGAATACCTCTGCATGTTTAATACAAAACATGCAAGAATTGGCTGAGTGACAAAGAAATTTCTTGAAAGGTTTGACTCTTAAGACACAGGAGCCAGATGTGATCTCTTGCTCATCCAGTGATCCAGTTGCAGAGGCTGCCTGACATTGCAGGGAGAAGCAGAATGATGGAAAGGCCTCTGCATTTCTGCAGACACCACGAAGACATGGTGATGTGCTCTGTGTCTCCAAAACCAGCAGAAATGCTTGGGAGGTGGCCCTGTAAGCACCACGAATATGAGGCTTCTTTAAAGTTTCTTTCTGCTGCGCTTCAGTGAGAAAGATCCTGCTTCTGCAAGAGAGCTACTTACTTTCCCCAGTGCTACCCACATATAAAGTTAAAGCAAAAAAACCAGACTATTGCAGGACTCTTCTGTTGTCCTGCACTCCATGCTGCGACCTGTGGTGTGCAGATACAATTGAGTGAGCTTTAGACTTGCCAACCTGGATGTTGGTAGCAGTCCAATTATACCTGCTCAGGGCTGATGGATTCTGCAACTCATACTACCAGAACTACCTGGTTAACAGTCCACACTTGATGCCTTCAGGAGTGAATTCACCGTATCTGCACTGCTTTGCATTTGAAGCAGCAACCAGGAGGTAAGAGAGGCATGGTAATTCCCAGTCCCTACTGATCTGCGTGATCTTTTACAGATGGTTCAGACACAACCCAAAACGTCTGATGCTGTGGGCTTTTCTCAGGGTTGCTGAGTATCATCAGGCAAGTTCTGCATCTTTGCTTCCCCAGTAATGCGCTGGCAGTAATACCACCTCATAGCAGTGTCGTGAACTTCCTCTCTATTACTTAATGGGTTACTCTGATATTTTGAAACAGCAGAAGTTCCAAGAGTGAAATTTAGCTCCACTGAAGCATGTAGGCATTTTCCCTTTGATTTCCAGGAAAGAGGAAGAACATATACATCCAAAAGTCTAAAATGCTCCCATGACAGCACTGCTGGGATGTTCAGTGAAACCCAAGCACGGGTTCTGTTGCATCAGTGCCGCTGTCGCTTTACAGCCCCCTCGTGGAGCCTGTCCTGCACTGTCCCAGCTGTGGCACATCTGTTTAAGACACATTAACAAGGCAAACAGATGTGGTAAAATGCATAAAATCCGAATTAATTAACTTGGTTGTTCTCTTGTCCCTTTTCTGAACGAGCCACAACATCCTGCATTTATTTTTAAACAGTGCATTGGCTAATGTATTCTGAGACAGACCTGTTTTTCTAGTCTCAATAGGAATTCAGATGTGAAAAACATGCCTGTGCAGAGCACCTGACAACTGTATCCTATTTAAGTCTTAGAAAAAGGACTTGAGCACAGAGACTTTGTGCAGAAGGGATGAAGAGCAAGCATCTTTGGAGAACTATTTGCCATGAATAACAAATATATTATGTTACTGTATTCTGGAGCAAAGCTGTTCAAGACATCTACACTTAAACAGACCTGTGTTAAATTTGGGAAACAATTCAATACAATGGATAGGCCTTTTGCTGATTGTTTTTCTCTAATAATAAGCAACAAGAAAATACCTTGTACATAACATACCACTCATGTTATAGGATTTTTGTAGAATCTGCTTCATCCAGCCATACAGAGCTCTCTGTGTAATTGCTGACGTTTTGTCATAGAGGTCCTTGAATACTGTTGACCTAAGTGATACAAGGGCATGTCAGTTCACTAATGAGTTTATTTTTTAAAAATGACACACATGGACAAATGGTTCTAGAAATAGCAACACATAAGCAGGAAGCTGTATGTGGAAATTGGACTGAGACCATATAGTAACCTCTTTTTTTTAAGTAGATATAGTCAGCAAATACTACATAGTATTAATTGTGTCTGGAAAATAAATGGCTTACAAGTTTCTGAAAGCATCCTCCAGCAGAACATTTGGAAGGCTCCCAATGACATCAGGTTGGAGATAGTTCACCACTGACACACGCAAAATCTGGCTCAGGATATCCACACAGTCCAAAGCACTCAGAACCAGAAAGCATTTATCCAGTGTTATAAAGAACAAGGTCCTGTTTACTCCTGGGCTTTGAAAAATTCTCTCTCTAGTCTTGTCCCAATTGAGAATAATATTTCCCATTTCCTGCAAGTAATAAGGGATTAAGAGAACATCTCTTAGATTAATTAAATATATTGTTCATTTTGAGGCCTGACAGAAAGCACTCTTCAAAAAATATGGTGCTGTTCTCATGAAAAATAGCTGCAAAGTACTGTCTGGTTGCATTACTTCAGATAATTCCTTTCTGGTGATGGCCAGAGACCAGCTTGAACCTTCTGACAAAACGAAAATGAAAACCAGAAAAATAATCCAAAATTGCTGAAGTTATAGTGTGTGCTCTCATGAAAGAATTAGTTACTTGGAAAATGAAAGGATATCAGAATTTAATGGATATTAGTTCATACCTAATTTAATATGTAGATATCTCTAGAATAGACCTTTTCTGTGCAGTATTTGTTGCAAACTATTTACTACAAACACCTCCTCCAGAAGATGGGGCAAGATCAAAGAACCAAGCCCAGAGAATAAAGTCACCCTGGTTGGGCATGGATTACTAGGTTGCTGTCTCATCAGTCAAAGTGTCTAGGACACTGTTGAGAGCTGACAGTCCCAGGCCTGGTGATTTGTTCACGCAATGTTATCAGTCCTGGAAGAACTGGGTATGCCATTTGGGAAGATAAAGTTTACAGTTTATTGAATGGGCTTATGCTATACTGCTCCAGCTCCCAGTGCATGCTGCACACCTATCCTGCGTACTTTGGCAGCAGGAGCTGCACCACCATTGTTTGAATAATGGATTATACAGTGTTTGTTCTGGGCAGTTACCTCATGTGTCTGGGGAAATGCTCTGCCTTTCTCCCAGGTTAATCTCCACCCCCTCAGCAATGCCCGTGCTGGAGGCCCTTCCTCCTGGCAGTGGAGATGCCAGGTGCTCTCATACATCAGGCTATTATGTCACCCCTGCAGTGGAGATCCTCCCCGGGAGGCACTCAGTGACTTTGAGCAAGACTTTTTAGATGGGTCACACCACAGAGGCAAGCAAATGATGTTATGCTCCCTCTCCTCCAAATGGCCTTACAATTTGCTTGCATGCTCCCATAACTAATCAACAAGATAACTGATTTGACTTTCTTGGCTCTTTCTAGGCACTGAAGAGAAGCAGATACTCCCTGAGAACAACTGGTTCTAGCTACCTTAGATATTTGTGTTGGAAGGTAAATAATCATCTGGAGATGCATTTCTCTCCACTGATTACAGACAAAATCCAGACGACTGACTTGGAACCAAACTTTTAGACAACAAGAATTAAATTAATTAAGTCCAACCTAGGGAGAGGGGCTCTGGGAATCCAATCCAGGACAGCTAAGTAACTGCATGGCATGCACTGTGAGACCCCAGTCTGGCACTTTCCCATTTATCTAAACCACTGACAGAAGCTTTTCTTTTTCACAAGTGCAAGGTGACTTACAAGATGGTCCTTTCTGCTGTTGAAGAGATACTTCATTGCAGTTTGGAACTGCTGCTGATCAAGCTGTTGAAATTCGGACAGTAGCTGCCTGGGCTGGTATAAAAGATTCTTCAGGTAACTTTTTATGGACATCTGAAGTATAAAAAGTATGAGTAATATACAAAAAGCTCATAGTATTTTACTAGGTGCATCTTTTACTCCCTGAAAAATCTCTGCTTAAGGAGAGATAAGTGCTTAGCTCCTGTGTTGTCTGTGTTGTCAATGACTAGAATAACTATAGTCAACACAAACTGTAAACAAAAATAATCTAAATGTAATTTTGGAAGACATTAACTTTAAATTCCTATTCTTGGCTTCATAAGCAAATCCTCTCCAGTGGGACATTTAACAAAAATGCCTCAGTTTATCATTATCACTTCGTAAAACAAGAGTAATAATGCTTTTCTGCTTCACACAGCAAAGCTGTGAAAATGAAACTTTCCCAGAGCTCAAAAAAATCAGGTACAGTGTGCACATTATCATTACTTAAAAAAATGAAGGAAATATGCAATTAGATGGGAGGAAAAGTCTGTACCAGGTCGTAAGGCCAAAATATTCTCTCTTATATCAAGCTGCATTAACAGTTAACAATCTTGTGCCTGTTTTGAAAATCTACAGGGAATTATAACATTGGAATAGAAAGTACTGTAAGGCTCATTAGCACCAGACTGGAGTAAAATCGCTTCTAATTCCTGACAGAATCATTTCAGAATTAGTTTGGAATTTGAGTTGAAACTGTTCTTTGTTGTCTTTGCTTATCTTGCATTGCCACCAACAAATATTAACATAGTTAGGTCCTTGTTTGTCTAAGGGTTGCAGGCCTGCTTATAGCCTTAAACTGTTAATAAATCTAATCAAATGGGAAAAGGCAATGTTAGTCTCATGTAGGTTTGGATGAGCTGTGACAGTGAAATGGAGCTTGGGAAAAGGTTTGAGTGCTGTTGAGATACATGGCCGTGGGCTGCAGGGAATGCCCAAGGCTCAGAGATTGCACATTTGACACTTTCCTTTTTCAGAGTGTGCGTGTATGTGTGCAGAGAGGAGGAAGGGGCTCAGGTTTTGATTAGCAGGCTACAACTCCATTTAAACCAGCTCATAACTAACCATAATGACCAGGGATAAAGAACAACGACTTTTTCCTATATCACTTCCACATTGCTAATTTACAAAAACAGAGTTCAGAGGAACTTTACATGTGGATGCATTTTGTAGGATGGTCTGGAGCTCTCATTCCATCAGAAGCAATGAACAGTCAAAGTCACAGTCAAAATCTGGGAGAAACCTGCCATTTTGTGGAGAAACAGCATGTGGATACACTCAATTCAGAAACAATTTCTGAAGATGAAAACTCTTAATATCTGCTTTCCATCAGAGAAAATGCAAAAAGATCTTATTTATTACTACTTCTGCCTTGCACACTCCTGCAATCTTAGGGGAAAAAGACAATCAAAAAACCTATTCATATTTCCTATTTACCTGCTACATTGTACATCTGTTATTTATCTGTTATTGACAATCTAGTTTTGGCTATAGACATAGGTTGCTTCTTTTTAAAATTCTATTTTAAATGAAAATTTTAATGCATTTTAAATGGCACAAACCTGTAGGCTGCTAAAAGTAAACATAACTTCCTGGGCATGAAAATATGCCATGACTTTTGTAAGCATATCTGCTGTCCAGACATTAGAACTGTAACAGAAAACAGGAACAAAAATGCCAGTAAAACAATATAACATGGAAAATAGGAATTACAAGACAAATCAAGAATAAGAAAAGCAAACACTGCTACTAACACTATATTGACATAAGTATTCAGCTTTCTGGCCTAACCAGATTAATAGCTGACCTATTTAATGCAATGAAAACTTACATAACTGTTCCTCATTGAACCGTATTTTTTCATCTAACTCCACAACAGCCCACAACAATCTCAATTTTTCAACATGCTGCCATTAGTACTATTTCCAGGCATGAGACAAGCTGCGCTGTGGCTAGTCTGGAGCTATAGGTGTGCTTCCTGGCACCCCATTATGCCTGTTCTGATCTGCTTGTAGAAAGAAAGAACAGTGACTAATGTCTGCTGCCTTTCCCTCAGCAGACTCATTAATTTCAGTGTGTCTTCTTTACACAGCCATTGATTTTCTCAAAATATGTAGGAGTGGAATTGCCTTTGAGGCTTATACTGTTTTTTTCAAATTTAGACAAAATTAGCAAATAATTCAAAAGTCGCCAGGAGCTGGAGGAAGTGGGACGGATGGGGACTAATGGAGCAGGACTGAAAGAGGGAGTTGGACAGAAAGCTGGAACTGCTTCTAATTTACTTAAGAAACCATTCTGAAACATACGAAGAAAGTTAATTATCAAAGCTTTTGAAAACTGTAGCAGATATTTATTCTCAGCCTCATTTTATGCATGCTTTTAGCTCTATCATGAAAAACATATTTTTCCTTGTTAAGAGGAAATACTTCTCACAGGAGATCTAAATAAAAGTAATTGCATGTGCCAATCTTGTTCTACCCATCATGTTCCAGGTTCTGTGGAAATTAAACAGATCATATCAGGAGTGCAAGACAATACAAAAAAATCAAGCTGGTGAGAGTAATACATTACCTCTGAAAATGAAGTATATCAAGGAGGGCTACACATGAAAAATGGAACATAAAAAGTTATGGTGAGATACTGAGTTTTAATTCCTTTTAGAAGCATAAGTGGGAACAATTTTGTACGTTACCATTCAGATATTTCCCAGTTATTACTTCCTCCTAAGGAAAAAATGGTAAATATATGTAACAAATTTTTATTTTTAGATTATAATATAAAATGTTAGTACAGAGACCAAATAAAAATACTAACCACAGCTTTGTGTAATAATGGAGGCAAATCTGTAAAAGATTATCCTGTTACTAAAAGTTGATTTAATGTTTTACCATTCAACTGTTATACAAAAATACATGTATTGTATGCAGTGATCAAAATTATATATACACATATAATTTATTTATAAGCATTTAGTACAGTTTTGATTAAATGCATTTACAGAAAAACAGGGAAAACAAAAGGCTATTAAATAATCAGCAATCTTGGTTGAATTATTTGCTGGCATAACTCCTTGGAGTCAAGAAAGTAGAGAATATGGTCCTAGTTACTAAACAGTACTGCATCTATTTTACTACACTTAGCTTTTTCCATCCACACAAAATACATCCTTCATAGAGGAGTTCTGGTCTTACCTTCAGAGCTCTGATTGTGTGTAATCTTAGCATGATTCACTGATATCAAAAAGAAACATATCTTCAAAAGTCTGGACATTTCTTCTAGTGTTTATTAGAACCAGAAGATATTAGGAATGAAAAGGAAAATAAAAAGAACAGTCAAAAGGGAATATTAACCCAAAACTTTCATAGCTATAAATCAGAGACAGCCTAAGATAAGGAGTACAGATAGAGATCAGAATTATCTAAAAGTGCTTGCTCCCAAATCTTTTCATTTAGATCTTTTTCCAGAATATTTATATATTTTATGCAAATACAAGTCCGCCAAGTGTGCACATGCAGTCAGATTTGTTTCTCTTTTACTTAGAAGCTCTCTTAATTTTCTTCCTAGCAGCACCATTTATTTACTAAGCCACATTCCACCTATATATGACTTAAACACAGTTTTGTTAAGGCAAACAAACAAATCCTTTCAAACTCAGATAAAATAGGACTGAAACTTGTCAGTGCAGGCAGGGAGGGTGAACGAGTGGCTCCTCTTCCCTGCTGCTGTTACTCTGCAGAAGGGGGGAAAACGTCCTTATGCTCTTCTAAAGCAGGGGGAAAGCGACACATTTAGGAAACAGAGGTCAATACCATGCAGCTTCATTTAGATGGATCACAGCTCTAGTCTATGTACTCAAGAAGTGTACCAACAATTTTTCACCATCAGCTAGGATATAGTTTATATGGAAATATGTGCTTTAGTAGCTCTTGGTATCCCTGCTGCCCTGTGCTATGCGGCATAAAGATGACTGAAAGATAAATTAGCTAGAAGGGCAGTAATGGGATACCTGAGGCTTTTCACCAGGGTGTCACAGATTCTGATCAAAAAAGATGAACAGTTTCACAGTTGCCCCATATGAAATGAATTTGTTGCTTTCAGTCTAGTTCTGGAAGGACGAGGATACACATTGCAATAAAGCAACGGGATGGAAAGGAAGCAGAGATTGAGTAGGTCTCGCTCACACAGGCGTTTCTGCAGCCAGTCCCCTCCACAGCGCTGAGGACCATGAGCTGCTTTAATCCACACTGCATCTAGTTTACTGCAGAGAAGATCTTCTGCCTCTGCCCCCTCAGCCTGGCCCTCTGCCCAGCCGTGAGAGTCACCACCCCCACAGGTAAAACAATTAATTAATCTGAGATATTAGATGATGCACTGCTCTACGAATTGCAGCTTCTTACACTGGATTAGTCCCTGATTTTCAGAAATGACACATGGGTCCTGCTGGCCAACACCACTCTGACCCTGAGATGACTTTGTTAGGTTTTGTCTACCTTCCCTTCCTTTCAAGGGTTTATCTGCAGCCACACTTAAATTCTGCATTTCTTTTTGTTGCTGAATTTGGATCCATTCTTTTTTTTTTTTTTAAAGTTCTCTGCCACCGCTTGAGTTACAGATCTGAACATTTGATAAATACAAACACCTTCTGCAGATTGTTTAATCTCATGTATCAGCAAGGTACTCTTATGAAAACGTCTTTCAACAGCCTCCAGCAATAATTCAGTCTATTGCAAATACTTTACTTCAGGCTTGTAGCAGGAGTGACTCAAACTGATGGATGATGAAAAATTGAAGCATTAGACTTTAAGAAGCTATTGCCTCTGTCCTGTTCTGTCCTGTCCAGTTCCCACACTGAAACACTTTTCAGCTATTCTTTTGGGAGCGCCACTGTACATGACTCTCATTCAGATGTATCTGGTTTCCTAGACAATGAACTTTCTTGTGTTTGTTTCTATCTTTGCCCTATTAATTTTGCAGTAAGGTTTGATTACTCTACATAGTTTAAATCATGCTACCAATGTCAATCCCGATTTGTTTATTCCAACTCATTCACTTTGATCAGGGATGTATTTTAATTAAAGCATTCCAAATTAATATATAAAGAGATTAAATTCTAAGAAAAGTGCTTTTTTATCCTGACTAACTCCAGTGGACAACGAGCAGGTGGAAAAAAAGTCTGCTGTGAAACAGCCCAGTTTGATAAGACAATCTGCAGGATAAAATAGTTCCTTTTGTCAGTGAAACTAGCCTGTTTGCAGAAGTTTGCTGCAGCTTTTAGACAACCTCAGATCACCCTGTGTGGATCTCTTGCTGTTACCATCCAGCACTACCCCCCTTCCCCCCCACCCCGAGATCATTCCTTGCACCATGGCAGTATATGCTGTGGTCAGATCTTCGAGATATCGTCTTTGCAGGACTCTGGTTATGAGCTGCTCTTCCATGTAAATAAATCCTAGACATTTTATCACTTACTCTGTTGCAGCCACTGCCTAATCTGAAGCTTTATAACCAGAACGCTAACCTCACAACCAGAAGTTTTGCTGATAAGCCCTTGCAAAGCCCTTGCACTGCTAGTGCCCGTCCTCCCTCCCCCTTGCAGCCAGGCTCAGTACCTTTGAAAAAAGGCCCTATATGCAGCGAGGGACCCCTCAAGAGGTTCAGGCTGTAAAGGGAGAGAGGGAAGTAAGGGGAGAGCATAAGAAAGAGAAGATGAGTTCTTGGGGAGAGCAGGGACCCCATGGCACTTTACCTGCCACTGCTGGGTGTGCCTCCTTCCCTGCACTCGAAGTGCAGTGTGCTGGGCGGCTCCAGCCAGGGACCCTGAGAGCAGGGGGCAGGGACTGGGGCCAGGACCGCCTCACAGCCTCAGGTGTCTGCCCAGCAGCACCCAGCCTCCAGCCAGAGGGGAGGGGAAAAGTCTCCTTTGCTGAGGGCTCACAGGGAAAGGGACTCCCACAGAAGGCAGAAGATGCTTCTCCGCCTGAGATGAAAAGAGATCAATGAATTTGTGTGTGGGAAACACACAGGGCCAGGCTGATGCTGCCCAGCACCCTGCTGCCCTTACCTCCCCACCCAAGCACAGGCAAGAGCATAACACGAACTGACTGTACCTGGGATCACCCAGCAAAAGAGGGCTGTGGTTTCTGTGAGACGAAGTTGTTCCAACTTTGTGTTGAAAGTTTACAACTAAAGCATGCCTTTGCACAGCACCTTTTTCCTGCTATGCCATGCATCCCGTGCCACCATGACAGAACAGATAGTTTAGTTATTCTCCAGGGCAAACCACTGCACATAAGCGAGACCACCAAAGTGCGACTTGCACACCATCACCCACAGCAGGACAGGGACAGCAGAGGGACGAGGCAGGTACCCCAAGCCTGGGAGTAATGAATTTGGACATTGAACTTGCTATAAACACTTGTCCCCTTGGATAACATCTTACACTATTTCAGGCAGTTTCATCAAATATCGGACTCAAGTTTCTTTGCACAGGCTGTGTGAACAGACATTAACTGCACATAAACATGCTCCCAAGGTCAAGAAAGAGAAAGAAGTCCCTTCCCTGGCACAATGAGCCAGACTGCGTCCCTTCCTTCACAAGGAACTCTGATTTTAGAAGCTTGGATGTAGGTAGTCCCTCGGGGCTACTCTCCATGTTCAACAGGACTAAGCAGTTGAACACATTAGAATTTAAGCTTACTCTGTTCATAGCTTCTCCCTGTTATTGGTCACATTTCAATAAGTGTTTTAATTCCCCATCTCAAGTGTAAAAATACTTGTGTATATAGAGGGAACAAAATAAGAAATCATAAGATCAAAAAAAAATAAATCCATATTATTTATGTTGCACCTTCTGTCCCAAAAACCTCTCAAAGCTATTACAAACAAAAGCCCTCAATGACAAGATTAAAAGATATGTGAAATGCATACTATCTTGTGTGATTTTTAACCTGTGGGATAAAAACACTTAAGTACCTTTGAAGAAGTCTGTCTTAATACACATTTGCTACATGAAGCTGAATTCATTACTCTTAAGAAACATTTTCCCACTACTAGATGAGTACAAATGAAGGCAACAAAACAAAAACGGATTCATTCCAAAGCAGATATAGCTCATTTTTCCAACAGACAAATCTGACTGTATTCTGTGCCAAAATTCAACAGCACATGCTGAAATAAGAATACTGAGTCTGAATTACTGTTGAAAAAACCCACCGGTCAAACCCCTTGCCCCATACTACAGAATACTTACTATTTCACAAAGATGATTGAGAATAGAATGCTATTAAATTAGCAAGAGAAATCGCTAACCATCAGGCAAAGGAAGTCCCAGGTAGACCTAAAAAGACATGCTGAAACATCCTACCTGGCATAAGACCACCAATCATTTGAAAAAAAACACAAAACAAAACCAACAAACAAAAAAACCTCAAACAAAAACCACAAGGCACAATTTTTTCAGCCTTCAAAAGCAAAAAATAAGTCAGTTCTTACTTTACTTACCTGCTGATATATAAGCCGATGTTCCTCTGCTCTCTCAAAACATTTACATCCCAATCAATGTAAGACATATGCCTGCCATTTCCGTACTACTTATGATGCCACTTGTTGTTTTAAAGGAAGGTTATATCCCAACTGCCAGAAGTTACCCATTTTAAACAGAGTTTTTAAAACAAGACACGTTAAAATAAATAGCATTTATTTAGTGTTCTTGAAGAAATTAAAAACTCTAGCAAAACCTTCAAAATCAGGTACCTACACAGCCTGATCCTCAGAAGCAGTTTGATTCATAGAATTTGCAAAAAACTGCCTGCAAGTTTTTAAAGCTGAAAACTTTTAGGAAGAACTTGCTTAGAAAGTTCGTTATTAAACTCATCAGCTTCAAGCACAGATTTGGCAAGCTCTACCATAACCCCTTTATAGCTGGAAAATGGCACATGCAAAAGCAATGAATATTTATGAGGCTTTGAGAGGAACATGAAGGAAACCCAACCAAAAGTGATACATTTTTTTGTGGACTGTTCTCTTTAAACAATACTTAAATGCTTTTTAAATAAACACAAGGTTGTGCTGCTATTGAGAGCTTGATTCTCAACACAAAGAGCAGTTGCTGCAGACAAGCGTGGCTATGGTTACAAAAATGAACACAAAAGTTAATGCAAAAAGTCATCTCAAAAAAAGTTTATTAGCATGATTAAAAACATGTGAAGAATGACAGTAAGAGAGAAAGTAACTTAGCATGGAAGAATATCCATTTCAACAGTTTGCATTCAACAAAGCTTGAACTGAATGGATAACTTTATTGCCAGATTTCACTTGATTTCTTTAACAACAGTTCACATTGTATCAGTTTCATCATTATTAGGACTATTGCTTTTGTTTGGATCTGATCCCTGTTGCAGGTAAGTATAAAAAAATATCCCCCGTTATGTTTGGATTGCACAATGCATTGTTGGTTTAAGAGCTGGTAAAAAAGAAATTCTCAACTGAAGAGTCTGTTCAAAAAAACACCTTTTTTCCTAATCTCACTACAAAGAAATACATTAGTATTTTGGCCTTTAAATTTCTTACATGGTCTTACATGCTTTATTTAGCATGGCAACCCCCGAATTCCCTCCCTTTAAGTAACCATAAACCAAACCCCTCTTTTAGAAGCTGCTTCTTGGGTTAGATTCTGGAGATTTACGTCATACACGCTTACACTGGCTTGAGGACAAAGACAGCATCATCTAGTACATAGTAGTCATTATACATGTCACCTTCACACAGGTACGGCAGTCTGGTGAAAGCCTCTATGGCAAAACCAGCTTTACTGAAAACTTCTGGCAGGCTATTCACCTGTTCTTCCCAAGTGTGCCCTTTGATTTCCAAAACTTCTGAGGGCTTTTCCCACTTGCCACCTACTGAGAAAACAACACAGTTTTGTTTAAATCACAAATAAAACTTCATTGTGTGTTGTGTTTTCTTACAGAAAGCATATTTCACAAATTTTATTCCATTTCAAACAGGAGATTGACAAGCCATTAGCAGAGCTGTTGCAAGATCTGTTCAAGTTTTTCCCTGTTGTTCAGAAGCAGCTCCTTCTTAAGGTTATCTTTTGTTACACTTTTAACCAGCAGTCCCAAGACTCGCTGAAATGTAATTTTCACTAGCGAGGCTGGTGTTCAGCAGTTCAGACAATTATAAAATTCCTTCTTTATGCCCACTTTCTGACCAAAGATGGATGCAGGTAATTACAGCAAACAGAGCCAGCAAGTTGAAAATTATGGTCTGCTGCGAAGCCTCCATCAACAGACCACCACATTATAGCGGATAGCTACAGAATCTTTCTTCCTCCAGTTGCCTCCACCTACTAGCTGATATGGTAAAGACTGCTTAGGGCCATACAAAATTAAGAAGCCAAACACTTGTAGCATGCTGTAAAACATGTTGTCATTTGTTAAATCCAATAAAATAATCTGAAGGATTATAGGTGCAACTCTCAGAAGTTTAAAACTCCATCATTTTCCAAGTAATGGCATCCACAAAAAACAATTGTTTTCTGGTTTGGTCTGCACCTTTAACTAGTTTGCTAAATGCAATAGTAAACACCCTTCTAAACAGGAAGTTCTAAATCTTGTGATTCAGAGCATTCTGCAACTCCAAAGATTTCTTAAGTTCCTCTTCCTTCAAGCAGAATCATTTCCAGAGAGACACAAGAAATGGCATCTTTCAACAAATTAAAAAACTTACTAATGCTGGCATTTGACTGGATTCTGTACAGTGCTGGTAAGACTTTTTTTTTTAAGCTTGTATTTTCCCATGTAATAGCAATTAAACAAGATTGAAAATGTTGTGGCTATGACTTGCAACATAGCTACAAAATAAGCAGTAGAAGTTTTGTTGTGAATCAAGCTAATTTCTGCTATCTTCATACAATTTCCCAATTAAACAGCTGTTAGCAAATGCTTTTTCTTCTTAAAGTCTGAAAGGCTCCTGTGATCTATGATTTCTGGGTCAAATCCTACTGCACTTCCCTACAAAGAATGCTCCAGCAGCAGCACCATAGTTTTAGTGCAGCTGTGCTTGTTTGGAAGGAGAGTTTGGGAAGCTCAGCATGAAATTAAATTAAATTAAATTAAATTAAATGAAACCATGAAGTTCTGCTCTGCAAGGCCACCCAGAGCCCCAGAGTAAGCTGGAAAAGAGAGGGGGATCAACTGCAGAAGCACTAGCTACTGCCTCACACCACACAAGTTGCAAGTACATCAACAACTTAAATTACTACAATCTTCAGATTGTTGTTACTGCTGTGGAATGGCTCTGATGTTGGTCTGACACAAAAGCAGAGTTCCATTTTATTTCTGTAGAAGTCACAGACACTGAATTTGCTTGGAGTTGGTCCATAAAACAACAACAAAAATGATGAAGGGACAATGCTGAGTATCACCATGGACAGGCTTATAAAATGTGTATCAGCAGCAGATTAAGTTTATTCAGTTTATTTTTGTTCTAATTTGTTATTTTCTAGGAAGTAGAAAAGGATGCTGTGAAGCTATTACCTTAATTTTCACTGCAATACTCTCAATTCCATTGTTTAAATATGTTAAAACAGTATTTAAATTACGGATTTCAGTAAAGACTCATAAAAGTCTCCCACACCAGTTATATTAAACCTTACATTTCAGTTCCTTAATTAGAATTACGGAACCTGATTAACCTTCCTGTTTTCCCTGCACACATTTTTAATGTCAGAACTAGCAAGCAATATTATTATCCTTAGAAATCCAGAGTCAATAGGTCATGAAGTGGAAGAATGTCTACGAACTATTGTGAATTTTAATAACTGTTATGAAATTGCTAAATTATGAATGTTTCCATTTACAACATTTCCACTGCCTGCCATCAGGCAGTCTCACCTGACTCAGATCAGGACCAATGGAGGAGAGGGAAACCCTTGCAGAACTACTCCACTGAGCAGCTAGATTTATGTCACAAAACACTCAGGACTAAATCTGAGGCAGGGAACCACACAAGTTATTCTTCTGGTCTTCTCCAGGGCCAAAGGAGACATTTGTGTTATTTTAGATTTATGAATCTTCTCTATGCTTTTTCAGAAAAACAGAAAGCTAAGCACATTACCACATAGGTGAAACTGTTAAATGAACAGATAAGCAAGCTGTAGGAATTATCTAAATGAAAAGTTTACTGGAAACAACTTTAAAAATTTCAAGTTAGAAACACCAGAAGTATCTTCTCTTTTCAGATTGTGCCTTGCTTTTTAACTGTCCCTCACATTACCAATTGTTCATTCTCAACAGGTGCTACAGATACCTGCCAAGTCACTGTAACACAACCCAGATTTCAGGAAGCTGACTACTCCATGCACACTGTGTTCCTAACATGTGCTTTCTCTGCCTCTGGATGCTCCCCATTCACACCTCAAGTTCTATGGTTTCGCTTTTTAACTAATGGACATGAGGATTTGTGTACTCCTGAATGCATAGATCATCAGAAGTACAAAGTACATTCACATTCAGAAAAAAACATTTCACTTCAGATCAACAATCTGACTGTAGATGACAGTGCTGTTTATATCTGTGGAATAGCATTTTCAGATTCAAGTTCACCCCGTTCTAAACAAACAGGGCATGGAACTGTACTAACGAAAACAGGTCAGTTGATCATTCCTTCTTAATGAAGCATCTTAAAAAAAATAAATTATCTTTCCTAAATACTCTTTTTATTGACACTTTCAAGGATGGCATTTAAGATGGGAATACCAATGGTTAGGAGTAGTATGTGACTGTATTAAAATATTAATAGTAAAACCGAGGAGGCATTCTACAAATAGCCTCTCAACCTCAGTTGCTAATTAGACTCTTGTGTCATATTATGCAAATTACTCTAGAATTCTACAAATGAAAGAAGTTTTGTATTTGTGTTACCTAACCATACCCTACATCCTCTTACACAGATACTTTAATGGCTATCAGAAAGGAAGTATCAACAGAAAAATGAGAAGTAGAGAAACTGACATTTAGTGGAAATATGTGCAACAGAGCAAATGGTCTCAGAACTGGGGATTCACCGTGCCAACTTGAGAAAAAAGTTTTAGTTCTGAACCTTAGTATCATTTACCTTCTAGTTAAGAAAGTGATGAGACTTCATTAACTACATTTCAGTTCTACATGCCTAAAATAGAAAAAAAAGAAAACCATAAACAAAAAAACCAAACTAGCTGGATTATTACTTTTCCTATATTCTTTCCTTCCTCCATCTAATAGCATGTCTGAACAAAAGCCTGTAAGCTTCATTCAGATATTCCTTTATGAGAACGGAAAACTGGATTTTATTCTCTGTCTACCTCTAAAGGAAGGGTTCATAACCAAAAATAACAAGTCTCCATTGCCTTGCAAACGTTCAGGGAAACAAAAGAAAAGTGATCTCACTAAGGCATTTAGACCATAAATTAACCAGGAAATATTGATGGGTATAAGGTTTTCTAATGCCTCAGAGGAAGTGGACTGAAATGCAGAATCTTAAGAAAACTATGTGAAACAGAACTGTCCTTTATTCTAATACTTGCTTTTAATAAAGGAGCAGAGAAGCAGCACAGCAGTCGAAAACTCATCTTCATTATCATCGCCTCATCCTTACTGTTTCTATACAGCACTGCTGTATTCGCCCTCTTTGCAGTCTACAAGGTAGGCTCAAAGCAATTTTTCTGATTTTGTTAATTTTGTAAATCTAAGCAATTTTAACATCTCCATAAGGAGAGTAAGGAAACCGCTCCTAGATTCCATAACTATGATGATTTAGTTTTAAAGAGGTGATTGGTTGAAGTTCTTAATGTTGCACACATCCACAAACTCGTGTGGCACATACTTGTGCTCACAGTATCAACCACATTTTCTTTTTTCAGTAAAGTGTCTAAAAGAAAAAGTACTCTACAGTTAAAATTATCCTGAGTATATTAATCAGCAAGATGGAGATTAGCTATCAAAGCACACTCAAAAAGCAAAACTAGAAACTGCTAGCATAAGTCATCAAGTCTCTGGATTATTTTCAAGTAAAATAATTTATATTTAATGTCAAAAGTATTTGTGAGCTGCAGTACAGTTACTCCAGACTGACTTTACTCATGTAATGAAATTCTATTCATACATAATACATATAGAGAAGAGCCACCTTGGCAAAATTTTAAAATATCAGAGACTTGGAAGAAGTTTTATGCTTACAAGAAAAAGACATCAGAATGCACCTGGTTAAAAATTATGTAACTACTGGATTTTTATTTTTTAAATCTATAACAAAATTTGTGTTTAGTTAAAAACACCCAACACTGCAACTGGAATCTTTACATAATAATGAGACTCGGATATGAGAATGAGGACTTCACAGTCCTAAGTGCTATGATACAGTAAAATGGTTCTTTGCTGTAGTGATCTCTGTCTAAGCATAACGACAGGACGATCTTTTTGATTTTTGTTTTTCTTTAAACTAGGTGTAGTAGTATAATGGAAAAAAAAGTATCTGTGATGCCATTGGTTTATTTTTGAGAACTGGGTAGTGCTTTGGGCAGGTTCCAATGTACTCAAAGCAAAAATAATTCCAACATCTACTACCAAAAGCTGAAATAGTCCTTACACACCTGAAAACAACTCTGATTTTTCAAATGGTATAAACTGATCTAATGAAAGACTTATCTACTAACTGTCTGATACTGTAAAAGGGCAACACTTTTGTCCTGCTACCTTAGTAGTTAGCTTAGCTTATGTTTTAATGATTTTTTAATTATCCCTCCCTCCAGTTAAAACCAAAGCTGCTAACGAAAAGTGGGAATAAAGACCAACGAACAGAGAACTGCGTAAGTTACTACTTTGTTTGCTTTGTCTGATTCAGAGCTTTTTTTTTTCCCCCGTCTTTTTAAAGTATATTGGGCATCAATGTTGTGATTAATTTACGATTTAAAGAGACATTCAGAGCTGTTAAGGCTTCACTTCAGATTTGTACAAAACTAGTTAATGATTTCACATTTAACTAATTTTAACTAGTTAATTATTTTTAACAAATTTGATAGAGGATAAAGTCAATCTATATAAAGGCTGTCTCTAATACACAGCTTCCTTTAGGTTTTAACTAAATTTTGTTCAAACTTCTGAAAATAACAGATTTTGCTACTAATTCTGTTTGTTTAAATCGTACATTTGAGTAAGCTGTAATGTATTTAAAACAAGCCTATTAAGAACTTATCATGTATCATGTATTTGAATAAAAATCAGAAGCCATAAATTTAAATATCTATTAAAGAACACATATATGTTAAGAGACACAATTTAATTTAGTTAAAACCCTTCAGCCTCCCAAACCATATTTTCATAAAGTGTTATTTAGTAACATTCCCAAAGACACACATGAGGAAAAATCAGAATTATAAAAGGTAGAAAAAGGTGTTTCCCCCAACTTCAAATGTTGTGCTGACCTAAAATACTTTACATAACTTGCAGAAAATCACTAGTGGACGAAAAATTTTTCAAGCAATTGCCCAAGAACTTCAAAAGCAGAGGTTCACTGAACATTGCCGACAGCGTGTAAGTATCTATCTGTCAATACTAAAATATATTCAGAAAAAAAGACATTGACAGTTTTTAAGAGTACGCCATTTCTATTTTCTGGAAATAGTCTTTTGTTTTTTAAAGATGATAAAAGGTCTAAAGGAAGTATTCTGCACAACAGTCAAAGACATTATAAAGCATTCTATATGACCATACATACAAAACTATATATGTGTATGATATAAATATACATATAGAATCCTAGATTAATTTAGTATGGAAAAGACCTTTAAGATCATTGAGTCCAACTGTAAACCTAACACTGCCAAGTCACCATTAAACCACACCCCTAAGTACTACGTCTTTTAAACACCTGCAGGGACTGGTGACTTAACCACTCCCTTGGACAAGCATACAGCATATTGCAAGGAAAGACAAGAATCTGACAAAAACATCTCCCCCCCTCCACAAAATTAGCATGTCATTAGAACTAAGAAAGATGTGGAAAGAAAAGGGAAAACAAAAAAAACAAACACGTAGAAGTATGTGAGAACTCTTGAATCCCACAGCTACTTCAGGTCTTATTCTCTGAGATGCCAAGTACATGGCAAAGACAACGTTCAGGTAAGCAAGATGTTATTCTGCATTCATAGCAGAACATTCAATTTTTTTATATTCTTAGATTATGAACACCGTGGGACTATGAGATTACAGAGCTATAAATTACTATACACTAATGAATGTACATTTTAAAATGAAGCTTCCATAAATTTGTATTTTGCCAAGATGAGGTCAAAACAAGTGGTTCTGGACTGTTTGGTAAAATGCATAGAGCTATTAAGAGATCATTTTTGAAAAAATGCATTTCTATTGTCGTTCCTCTTGCTCCCTTAGCCCATGGTAGCTAGGTGATAAAAACATAACAAAACTGTTAAAGCTCTACAACATCCTTACAGGTATTTCCCCCTCCTTCAACTTAAGAATCTAGCTCAGTGACGTTGAATACGTAGTTAAAGCCATACCACTTATTTCATCATTACTATTTTATGCCAGTAAGTCTTATACAATCATATGACAATAATTTTGCACATGCCATGTAAGTTACAAAAAACCAACTGTAAAGTCACATGTATTTGCAAGCAAAGAAAATGGTCTCTAAGCATGGACCGCACCACTTCAGAGATACAAGGAGAAACCAGAAGAAACAGAGCAAAGTCAAACACTTCTCTAAACATTTTTACTTCATCGATTCCCAAACAGACCCAAATGTTTTCCTCTGTAATTACCCCTTTAAAGACTTCAAAGTCCCTGCGGACATAACCTGGTCCTTGGTCTGAACGTCAGATAGGAACAGAATGAAAATAAGGGGTATGTTTTGCTGCCTCTCTGCTCCCTGGAGATTAGGGACAGCCAAAAGGAAAAGAAACATGTTTTGAATCCTGTAGATGTCACACAAACAAAAGCAACTATGTAAGCGGGGAGAAAAGAGTTTACTGAAACAGTAAAGAGATGGAGATTGCCTCAAAAAGGAAATTCTGTCTTTATTAAAAAGTTCACTTCAGTAACTAAATACTTCTACGTTTTTCCTCTAGGATGATTTGGAAGATGACACTGTTTATCAGAACAGATGAGCATGTGCAGCAGTTCAGATTTGTTCAATATTTCTCATGCAAGCAAAGGGGCAAATGAAGAAGTTAAGCTTCTTCACAGACTTCCTTTGCTTTCAAAAGAGAGGAGAAAACCTTACAGGGCAGCGTTCTTCGAAAGTATTATCCAAACAGATCACTAAAACGAAGTGCATTGTGTATTACATCTATGGTATATATTATTTCCATTTTCCACTCTGCAAGAATAAAAACTGTGGGAAGAGACTTCATCTTTTATAAGATAACTGCTAATGCTTCATAGAAGTTTACTTTTTCAGTTTAGATTTAATTCTATGTTTCTTTTTTACATAAATTTACACGTGTTCCTTTTATATGAATTAAGCATTTGTGAAATATGTATGGTAATTGACAGCAAAAGAACATAAACTCGTTTCATAGGTGAAAATCTGGTTTTAGTCATGTTAATGTGATAGCTATCAATGTAACAAATGAGACAAAGCAAGGGTCCTTCTAGCACAGTACTGTGTTTCCAGCTCAATTTAGTACCAAATATTTCAGGAAGATGGAAAATACACCTTTGTCTTCTTACCCCTGTCAATCAATCACAAGGACATCAATATGTTCAACAAGTGAATTGCTAGTGTTTGCTACTTCTGAAGTATGGTGTCTCTGACATTTTTATTTTAGAGAAACTTAAACCAGTCTAGTCATATATTATCTAAAAAAGCCTTTATATAAATAGGATGACTGTATTAGGAAACAAACAACTTTTATATGACCCCACAGATACCTATTAAAAATATAGTTATAATAACACATGTTGTTATGTGACTGGTCTAATACCTTATGAATCATCCAGCTTACTTGCCAAATTTAGACATGTGCAATAAGTGCATTACTTGTTGTTTTGTATGTTGAAAATAAAACCCTGAAAAGCCCCAGAAAGAATTTATGATTAAGGTACTTCGGACTCTAGGTGTCACTGTAATTCCAGAAACAGTCAGTACAGAAATGCATTTTACCTCCTCCTCCACCTTGCTTTGTTCTCTTAAAGCAAGTTTTGTTATTCACATAGACACTTTCCACAATTACTCTCCCATTATATTATGTGTAATAATCCAAGTATCTCATTGTGATTAAAAGAATATCTCAATTTCTAGAAACTGATCTATACACTGATCAAACACCTTACCTGCCTCATCTCTTATTCATTTGTTGCCCCCTCTAAAATTCTAAAGTTTCTCTAGATGGGTCCAAACTGTTTTTAATTAGCTGCTACACGAAGTTACTTGAGCCATGAAATGTCCTCCTCTTTGAATGTTCCAAGTATTTTTTTTTGTTAAATATTAAAGCATATGTACATATCTAACACTTCTTAAAATGCATCGTCTTGTAGAGCAGCTGAATGAAAATACTGAAATTCTAAAATCATTTTTACACCATGAAGGCAGTCTGGCAGTTCATTATTTCTTTAGACTACAGGTAAATAGACCTGAAAGTGAAAAAGCTTCAGTGGAATGTAACTTTTGTGTGTACTAACTTGCATTGTCTAAAGAAGTCTGTGTGGGCCTATATCTGTAATAGTGGTAAACAGAAAAAAAAGTATTTTTGAGTTTCAGAACATATTAAGGAAACAAAACTGCCTTAAGCAAAGTGACTAATCTGCTACTAAACGAAAGTATAACTTTGGTTTATGAAACATCTTACAACACATTTCAACTTTCAACAAGTAAGAATAACATAGTTCAACAATCACAGAACAGGTTTCCAGTCCCTTGAGATTTATAAATTGAACACTCTATTCTCCTCCCAGTATACTGTAGGAGGTTAATGATAAAGGATATAGGTGAACTTAGAGTAGTTTCTTCCATGATTTATCTATCTCTGTTGAGCCAGGAAGTTGCATGTGGTCTGTCATGTAGTTACCCAACAACATGCAGAAAAGTAGATGCTGGGTACAATAGATTGCAAAACACATTGGCACATAGTTTTGAAGGCACGCAAAATAAAAAAGCCATGCAAATAATTTCTCAATTTCTGCTTCTAATACGCCAGTGAAAGACTAGAAAGACATTGCTTTTATTCAGAATTTTAAAGATTTTTTTTTTTTTTAAAAAAGGAAGCCATATTGTTCTACATTACAGGAACAGTAAGTTGTAACCATATATGCTTGAAATACTGTACAGATGTGTAAGTCAAACCCTCTGTCTCATTTAAGACACACTACTTTTCAGAATACTTGCAAAATTATATGCTCAAATACTGTATTTTAAGCAATTCTTCATCTGATGGCATTATTTTATATATTTAAAAGGGGTTTTTTCCCATCCTCCTCCTGCCAAAACACCACTGACACATAAAATGAGGCAAAGAGATTCAGTTTGATGCATCTGTGACTGCCAGAATGTTGAAGTTATTAGTTCTGTGCTTTCTGGGCATGCATGCCTTTCCACAGACAAATCTAAATACTCAAGGAGAGCCAGTGTCCAAACAATAACTGATGAACACCAGCCTTCTGGAATTCAAACCACCTTTAGGGTGCTTCAACCTGAATCCACAATGACAGGCACATAAAAACAGTTTCTAGTCTCTTTTGAAGTTTAGTCATAAGGACAAATTTGAAAATCTGTTAGGTACTTCTTTAAAATGCAACTAGTGGAAATAATGGAGTAGTGCCACTGAATTTTACTTTTTTATTCCAGTTACTAATACAATATAAATAGTGGTTGGTACTTCATATTAGTAGGGGTCTATATTTTACTGTATTTATATTTTACTATATTTATATTTTAGAGCTCATGTTGGAAAGTGAATGTTACCTCCCTATGAATTTTTAGTTGCAGTTCATCTGGAAACACTTGAAACAGTTTGACCTGAACTGCTCTACTCAGCATTACACGTTTCTGATGGTTTTGCTCAGTCGGTCGCTAGAAACAACTGGAGTTAGCTATATGACAGCAGCAGAGGGCCCTAATCAGAGATCAGTTTTCCCACATTGCTCCAACACAACTCAAATGTGGCAACCTCCAGAACAGGATATGTGATTTCAATATTTGAGCTTTTTGTTGGTGCCAGTGATATATGGTGAGGAGTTAAGATGACAACTTACATCATGAGACCTATTTACATATGATTTCATACTTCTGAACATGTACCATACAAGTTATTTGTAAAAAATAAATAGAAACATGCCAATTATTTATTAAACATTTAATTTGGGATACTACAACATACAAAGGTTTTCCTTACCTACCTAAATAGCTATTAAGCTGTATACTTACCATTTTCCACATATGGGTGAAATGGCAGAACTAGTGCTAGAATGACTCTGCCTCTAGTTGGCTCCAGTACACTTCTAATATCTTTTAATACAGTCAGTGGTTGATCACAGCGATCCAGCAAATTCAAACAGCTGATAACATCATACTGAAATCCTGTGTTTTGCCATTCATTTATACCAATGAAAGAGAAAGAGATACAGTCTGTTAAACAAACACAAGCTGAGTTCAGAGAGAACCACTGAAGACAAAAATTCCCCAGGGATGTGTTGATAGTGCAGGTAAGGTCAGTCACTGAGGCAATAAGAAGAGACAGACGCAGTCCTGGTCTTTTGGAATAGAAAACTACAGCAATAATGGGCATGGCTACATATCCAGCCATATTATCACTTATATTGCCATCATTATATAATCTTCAGACAGTAAAGGAGAAAAAAACCAAAATCCCAGGTATTAAGAGAATGTATTGACCTAGAATAAAACTGAAGATACTTGTTCATGAACAACAAAGTTGAAATACGATCAATGGCTTGCTGCATTTTATCAACTTTGATTAACCAGTGTGTGAACCTGGATTGCAAAGTAGCTGTTATTTTTCCACTCAATGACAGGTGAAGAGAAGAAATCCACAGTTCCTTCATTCTTTGGGTTGAAGTCCAGGGATATAGTGCCTGAAATACTAATCATTAGTCAATAAGACTGGATCTGCTGCCTTCAAGAACCTCCAGGAACTGTGACGAGTGCATGAACAAAGTTATGAAAGCGCTGAGGTTTTTGTTACTAAATATTATTCAGCCTAAACAGCAGGAGCTAAGCACAGCAAGAATAAAAAGCTCTTTACACAGTCATCTATACTGCAGGATTAGATAGACACGGACTATTGAGGTATTCTTATTACCAGGATTCAGTTTGCTTTCTCTGCAGTACCAGTGTCTTCCTCTTGCAATTTTGGACTGTTCAGTTAGACTGTTCATCTGAATTTCATCTTCCTGACTCCCTTGATTAAAGCAATTTTACACAAGCTATGAAGAAAGACTTCAAAATGGTTGCTGCCTATTTTGTCTTAACTGATAACAGGGAAAATCCACATAACAAAAGCACTGGTAACAGAACATGAGATGTGTTTGTTTTCCTGCTTTTATACAGGTCAACCTTTTCCATAATGATCAAACAATGGAGGAATTACTTTGCTGTAATGTCTGATATAAATGATGCAGGAAGTATTCAGTACAATACCTGTATTTCTTCTTCTGAAGCTGCCATATCATAGTTTCAGACAATTCAGTGGCATAGATTTCTTCAAAGTGAGGACTCATGACTTTTGTGACTTCTCCATCCCCAGCCCCTAAATCAAGAAGTCTGTGGGATTTCCATTCTGGGTTTATTTTAAGCAGTCTTTGAAATTGTTCTGGGGAAAATACAAACATCGAGCCCCTTCCCAGCAGCCTGAAATGTAAAAGTGAGAAATTACCAATTTTCTACAAACTTTAATAGGAAGGACAATGAAGTAATTTAGAATCTGCTTTGGCAGCAACCAGTCACACATAATAGTAGACAAGGTCACTGCTCAGATAAATTTTAAATGCAGTTCAACTTGCCTTGCACTTGTCAGAGATCAAACACATAGCCACATGCAGTTACACTGGTTAAGACTTCAGGAGGAATTTGATTAGGTAAGGAAGAGCTCATGGTGTGCAGCTCAAGAAAATGATAACACAGGAAAAAAAAAAGGAGCCGGAAGAGAAAGAGAGGCAAAGATAAAGGCTGAACCTTATTTGTCACATTTGCAGAATTGAATCTCTGCCACCCACCTTAAAATAAAGATGAAAGAGCAGAGGAAATAAAATGGCTGCAGACATAGAAGTATGAACAATGAATGAGAAATAGGATGTGGAACTAGGAGGGAAGACAGGGAACAAATGTAAAGAAAGGATGGGGGTAACACTGCTGGAGTGGCAAAAAGATTTTTTTTTTAATTGTATGTTACAACGGCTTTTAGTGCTATCTGCAGATCCTGCATTCAACATGAAGAGCTGTGGAATAGAAAATAGGCAACTCATTAAGGAATTGGGTAGAGGTGACAGTTGGATTCCTTACAGATCAAGTCAATGACATGCCCGCCTGCAACCATTTGAAGACTACATAGTGACAGATTTCAGCTGTCACAGTAGAATTCAGAAGATGAAAGAGTTAGGAGAACAAGCAGAGGAAAGTGAACTGGTCAGTAATAAACTGAAGGTAGATAAATACTATTCTTTAAACTAATGTTGGATAGTAGGTTAAAGACAATGAACAGAAATCTTTTATGTTCAAGGGGAAAAAAGGTAAACAAATATAAAAGGAATCTAATAATAAAAAAATGTGAAAAAGAGGTGGCAAAGATTGACCGCACTAAAAAATAAATAAACAAACAAACAAAAAGGATAGAGCATACAAAGTAATATAGAAGAAGCTAATGCAGGATATTAAATGTATAAAAATAAACAGAATACAGCCAATTTAAGTAAAGCCCCCTTGTAGCATAGTTGTGTCAGTCCACACTGTATAATTGGCTCACAGCTACTATTCCTAACAGCTCTACAAGGTGTTACTCAAAGGATGGGAAAGCCTTTGAAAAAAAAAAAAAAAAGGGAAGATAAAGGAAGAAGAGGAGACCAAAGGAACCTTTATATAAAGCTACAATAACTAAGAACACCACAGGGAATCTCATAAAGTCACCTGGTTAGAAAATAAGGAAAAAAGATTATTTTTTTCTAGCCTTAGTAGACAGCTATGATCCTCATATCAGACAGTGCAGAAGTATGTAGTAGGTGCAGTGGTGGGATGGTAGAGAAATCAGGTAAATGTAACAAAATGCATTCTTCATAAGGTCAAAACTGATAAGATGTTAAACATATAGGTGCTCTAGATTATCTTTAAAGATTATCTTTAAAGGTCCCTTCCAACCCAATACATTCCATGATTCTATATGTCAGAGTGGGGTGATGTGAGCAAAAAAGGCACTGACTTCTTTGGAAAACACTAAAGCACTCATGAACTCCCCTGCAGCGGAGAAGAGACTGATGCTGTAAGACCAGGAGACTACTGATTTAGAAACTTCTCTTTTCCTGCCTTCCTGATATTTCATCAGTCAAACGTGCTACATCAGAAGTTACCTGTTCAAATACAGCTTACATATAAATGGAGGTGAAATTAAGTTTTACAGAATTCTGTCCCACATTAGTGTTACCAGACACAACATTGGCCAACTTCTGCACTGTTTAGAAATCTAAGTTTGCAGTGGGTGTGTCTACTCAAATAGAAAGAGTTTTAGATGCAATACAGAACTGACTGGATACAGCCACCTCCCACAAGGACAATCACAACAGTAACTGATAAAGGTATGGCAGTAGGTAAAGGGCAAGGCGGGAGGGGAAGAAAGCAGAAGGATACATTGTGTAACACAAAGAGAACATTCTTATTGAGAAGGAAATTAATACAAGTAATGGTTATAAAATACAATTAGAGCCCTCTGACTGTCTCTTATTAATTACAATTACCTCCTCTGTTCCCCCATACTGGAAATGGTGTTCTGCAATTAAGAGGATTGGGTGTGAAGAGCAAAGTAGGGCATTTCAGATCTGTCAGATTAGCAAAGGGAAAAAAACCTACAGATTTAAGAAAAAACTGACAGATCAAGAACACTTGAAAACTCTACATCCAAACTGATTATTTAGTTTTCCCAAGACTGACTTGTCACTTACCCATTGATAGATGTTCTAGACATAAAAAGGCTAAAAATTGAGGACACAAAAGAGTGATAGAGCTGGATAAACAGCCAGCCTGATTTCTCAATACTGTTGTTTAAGAAGATCTGTGTTCCTTGGTCAAGGTAGCTCTGGACAAAAATAGGCTGAAGGGATTCAGACAACTGTTCTGTGTTGCACATATACCACTAGAGAAAGAAATAAAAGTTCATTAAAAAGTTCAGCAATATAAAACCGGTAGTCGTTAAAAAACAGAATACGTGAAAGGCTATTATCAATTTCTGTAAATATAAAAATTTAGTCCTACAGACTTTTCAAGAAGCTTCAGGATTAATTTAACTTAGATTTGAATTGTAATCAAGTAAAGACCTATTATTTGCTAAGAAATAATGCTTTTAATTTTTGTCTTAATCATTAGCCTGTACTTTAAAGAATTCTACAAAGTAAATTCCCTAGAAAGCAAACACAGGTCCTCTGTGGAATCGCAACACACTGGTAAAATAGTACAATAGTGGGATAACATTGTTTTCTACCTTCCAACTCATTCTCAACTTTTCTCTAGGCGTCATCTGAAAAAAAATCAGCAAGTGTATTTGCAAGATTTTTTCAGGAGAGGAGGTAAATAATACAACAGTACTTTATACAACTTGCTTTACATTATTTTAAATGCAAAACACTTGTGAAAAGCAAGGCAAACCTGAAGAAAGTCTAAAATTTGAGGAGCCTCATGGCCACCTTCTGCATCTCAGGAAATGCCTCTAGTGCTGCAGTAGTCTGATAACAAAATTCAAAAGGTTGCTCATTGCTAGGCTGCAATGCCAAGCTAAAACTCCCCTCCACTCAGTATGCAAAAGTTACTAAAAAAAAGTTTTAAATGTAATTTAAATTAAGAATGCCACTGTTATTATTCATTCTCCTACACTTATGCAGAGTTACTGTTAGCCCTTCTCAGAGAATCTCTAATGCAGAATCTCTGTTTTCTAATATCAAGAATTATTCCCAACAGCTAACACCCTCTTATCTCCTCCTTGGATCTTGCAATAACGTTCCTTAATCTGGCTGCACGTGTTTATTGTGCAGACAGGGAGTTATAAGTATCTTAAAGAGAAATGAAAAGTTTTAACAAAATGTATGTAGAAGGACAGCAAACAGTCAGCTCAGGTAACTCCCCACTAACAGCCATACTATGCAAAATGTAGGCTCATATCCTGATCCCTTCATATTTGTTGTACCTTGTTGGGAAAGGAACAGTCACTTAACGCATCTTTACACAGTGTTCAACACAATGGGACTTCAGTCACTACTGTAAGACAAATAATCACAAGACAGGATTCTTATTCCAGTGTTCTGCTGCTTCACAGTAACAGTGCCAGCAAGCAGAGGGGAGTAGACAGCTACGCCAGCATCATTATGCCAGATTCATAAACAAGGGCTCCATCAAACACTTGACTCGAAGTAGTAAAGGATGTCAAGACCCTTCAGCTGAGGAGCAAACATAAACCTGCTTAAGTTTACCTTGAAAAGTATGTGCACAATGGGTACACTTCTGGTGAAATCAGGTTCTCGACTGTACTTTCAGACACACTTGTAGGTAGCACAAGAAAGTAGTCCTTTCCTTTAAAAACAAGATCCTGAGCAAGTTTGTACCCCATGATGGAGCCTGGCACAAGGATCCCTGAGACTGAAGATTTACCAGTTTAGGTCTTTTCTCACTGCAGCACAGCATAGTCCAGTGCGTGCAAAAAGAAATCCTTAGTGAGTTGTGAAAAACCACTAAAGCAGCAGCCTGTGTACTTTGTCCATCCATCTTCAGAAGCCAATTTCAAGAGCCCAGCAGAAGCAAACAATCCCACAGAATTGAGGAGCAGGCTGGGACATGTGACAGATTCACTCATGAGGCTGATGCTTTGCTACACTGGACAGGTTTGGAATGGCTCAGACCATCTGCCTTTTTCAGTGTGTTACCATTTTCAATACAGGAGTAAATGTATCCAACTATCAAAGCTTTGGGAAACACAGGCTATGTCTCATAAGCAATATGGCTACATATATGCAGTACCTGAGCTCATGCACCTTGGTTCTGCACTGAACCTGTAGTTCCAGGATCTGACCAACAGTCCTAAAAATCTAGTCTTTAAGACTTCTAAATATTTACAAGTATTGACATAATGATTGGCAGAATGATGATGGTGACAACTGTGAGAAGAAAAGCTTGTTTCCAGAAATTAGGACCTCCTCTAATTTCTTCTTCATGGTTAATCTTGCCAATTAGGTTATTGGCAACTACTTGTATAACACTAGTGTCTAACAGAAATGATAGCAAACTATAAGAAGAAGAAAAAAAAAGCAACACAAAGCAAATAAAACCAATCCAAAATTCAAATTACAAAACTGGTAAAAAAACCAGCTTAATTCTGGAACTACTTCCTCAAACAGAAACTACTTTTGTTTTCCTTCATCTACAATATATGAAGAGCCCTTTTCAGGCCATTAGTTCCATGACAGAAAGTATATCAATCTCTGATAGCACAACAGTAGAAAAACTACAGCACAAAAATGTGAAAAGATACATTAAAACCTCTGTTATAATAAAAATTATAATTGACAACTCTTGCCTAATATTAGCAAAAGAAAAAAATATATTCTTTTAGCTGACATGTAAAAATAACGAAGTCAGTAAAACCGCAGAGTGAAAGTACCTGGGGCCTCAACATGCAATCCTTACTTATGAGTAACCCCACAAACTCAGTGATCATAAATCTTACTAAATTTACTGAATAATCAATCATTTAGGTTTAAAATCTAGATCTAATAAATTAGAAATGGAGAGTATCCACTGCAGATCATCTGCTTGTGAATGACAATCAATAACACATGTTCTTGGTTGACTTGTCTTTCTAGTACAGTTTTTAACAACACAAAATAACTTTCAGATTTTCTTTGTCCATCAGAACGAAGTTCTTTCTGTAAATCTAAATTCTGCTTCTCTTTGTACTTATGTACTGAATGATCCAAACAGCAGACCATATTCATTAAACCCCAGTGATACATTCACTCAGTAGCAAGATTCTGGATGTCAGTGCCCAGCCAGAGCACTAAAAAAAGCTCCAGTAATGGATCAGCCTGAAGAATTACAGTGCATAATTATGTTCTTCCTTTGTAGACCAGTCCTCAAGTATTTATGCTACATCTTTTTAATTAGCTCGGCTCTGTATATTTTACAGTCAGTTCATAAGTGAGTATCTTCTTTCAGCACTAAGAGCTTCTATTAGCCCTTCTGAACTCCTGATAGATTTTCAGTAGCATTTTGGTAAAATGTAGGGCAGATTTGAACATATTCCAAATGCAATCACATTACAGAGCCATTGTATAGCAATGGTATAGTTCCGAGCTTCTCCACAAAGTACTGATCCACACGCCTATACTGCCCAAATATAGCACTAATCTTATATTGCAGTCATATCACATTGCACACTTTGCTATCTGCTATAGCTTCAAGGCCTCTGTAAGCTTCAATTTCTTATTTACTCGCTTTTTTCTTTTTACTTTCAAGAGATTTTTTCCTCTAAATCAGTATTAATTCAAACACCTTTGTGATTACAAACCCACCCCATTCAACACTACCCGCAAACTTCACTCAAGTGGCGTTTAGTCCCAGAGCTCACCAGAAAAAACCCAAGACGAAGGTTTAAATCTCAGAGGAGCAGCTCCGACACCCAATCCGCTGCTTTATCACCCTCGGGACATCGCGCCGTTTCCC